TATGGAGATATCAGAGGAGAAGCACAGGAATGGGATCGCAGTTCAAGCAGGCTGAAAGGTACGAATGAGAATGAATCTAACTTGGTAGAGAAAGAGAATACTTGGGAAAATCAGCTGCTCTTTTAATATACAGATAGGTATGGGGTTTCCTCCATTTATATATTGTAAATTGAGGAGGAGGAGTAGTGATCTCAGCTAACAGAGCTTAATTTACGTGGCTGTGGGTTGGTTGGAGTTCGTGGATTCTCATCCCACCATGCGCCAAATTGACATGATCAACAACAGCTTCATTCATTCAGTTCACCCTCTCAAATCCACCTTAAATCTTGTCTCAAATTGGCATGTGCCCAACTGCCCATATAACTTTTCACTTGTGTTTGTTTTGGCATCTTTCAAACGAATTGGAATCATTTCAGAGTTTCTAGGGGAGACATGAATAATGTGCCAATCTAGATATATAAATATTTTATACTAGTTTAGAATTTGGAGGTAGTTAAGTATTCATGTCATCGTTGTGTAAGTTTGTATGGAAATTTTCTATATGGTGATTCTTTATAATTGAAAGGAAAATAGTAGTATCCGAGTATTCATATCTTGGAATTTTATCAGATCGATTCGAGTGGTATTCGAAATTTCTCTTTCTCTTTCGGTTTCGCAACATCATCAATTTCTCCCAAGTGGGTTTACTTCTTCATGTTTTTCCTCTTTGTGTCCTAGTAGGAATATTATATCATTGAAACTTGGAAAATGATATGGTTGATCAATCCAACTAATCAAGTAGCTATATGAGTGAACAAATTGCATTGTGGAGATGTGAAAGTACTATTCACTTCTAATCAAGTTCTTCTTGCTTATGGACAAACTCAGCAACCCACTATGTAAATATGTAATCTGAATTATATGTGTAACTTGTACGTGTTTGCAGATTTATGTCATGATGAGCTGCCTAGCTAGATAGGTAATTGGCTCAATCTCTGTTGTGAACTTTGGTGGACCAAGTTTTAATTTGGATCTTTTGTGAGTTTTCAAAACACACTGCTGATCTCTCCCTTCCCTCAGAAACCATCATTCAGTAGCCATCTCTCAGTCTGTCTCTCTGTTTCTTTTGGGCCACCCTATGTGTCTCACCTATTTCAATAATGGTACTATTGGAACTTGATCACTAGCTAGCTTGTTGGCCCCAAAATATATGTGCATATATTACCCCCCAGTGAAAAATATAATTAGCTTGTTTATCTTTTCATTGAGATGAATTTGATTTTTATATGAAAAACCAAAAGTGACATAGAAATTGATTAATATGTACAATGTTTTTGTATGTCTAATGCGGCTACATGAATGTCGGGAAAGGAGACCAATGACTATGTGATTGTGTGTTTTTGTATGTCCAATGCGGCTACATTTAGGGTTTGGAGGTGAGAAATCAGAAATGTCATATATATCGATATGAGTATTGAGTCAAAGGCAAGATGAGGATCGATCGATGGAGGAGTTTTATCGAAGGCTGACCTAATCGAATTGAATAACATCTCGATATGATAATTCAATTAAGTCGTCTTCGTTAACTCATCCGATCCGCGGTACGTACTCCATTCCTTCGTTCGTTCATTCATTTCTTCGTTCAACTTGGATCTTCGTAACAACGACAGCGATGATTCGATTCATTCCGGAGATCTGTGTGCCATCCTTGTAGCTTTATCACCATGGACCTCAAAAGCAATCGGTCGATCTAGGTGGGTTCACATGTTGGATTGATCAATCTCATTCACTTAGCTCATGTATCCACTACTGTCCTCCCTAGCTAGCTTTTGTAGTTCTCTTTCACAGTCGTGAAAATCCAAGGCCGGCCCACTGATCGATTTTCAAATCTATCTTCAATGTATCGACGAGTTCCCTTTTGCTCTCTTTCCCTTAATTTCCAATAATAGGTGGGTATGGAAGTTCCATTCTTGTGAGCCCTAATGGCGATCTCTTTTTCAAGATCGTGTCTGTACTATGTGTCTGTGGTGGCGATGTTATGTATACATTGGGACCAAGTTATCTCTATGTGGCCTATCTAGCTAGTCGTTTAGTTACTACTATGTACTTCTCCTCGCCGCTCGATAAATTTGATTAATCAAAGCTGACCACACATTATTTAAGTCTGTGCCTATCGCGGTACAACTTAAACCAATACTTGAAACGGTATAAGAGTCTTTGATCTCGAATCCTCGTAACCTCATTACTGAGAAAGATATAACTAGCATATTCTCAACGTGATAAAGTGAAGTTCACACTTTGGACTAATCATATTGATTACGATTTGTAGCTATCCTTCCTGTTGTACATGTGCTAAACCTATTTAATTAATCAAATCCAACAATTCATTTCAATTTTCTAGTTACCATAACCAATATTTGATATGGTATTAGAACTTTTGAGCCAGAATCGATATATACTCCAATTTTCACCAACATCAATATTAATAATGATAGACTCTTCACTCATGTTATAGATAAAGTGAAGTTAAACACTTTTATAATGCTCACTGAATTAGTTACTTCTTAATTAGGATCTGACGTCTATATGCTTCCTCCACCACTGAAAGGATTTGTTTCTCTGCACTACTGGATTGCCAGAATCGCGTTTAACCATTCGTAAACCAATTTCAATGTTGAGCTCAGCTAAAGATAATGAACTCAATCTCATTAATTAACCCTAATTATCATATTGCCGCACTAAAACTAATGATGATCTGTTGACCCGTTGCAGTTTGGACGGTAAGCAAGCACAAATATGAATTATAAATTATAATTTAATGAAGCATCTCTTTGATGTGAACATGCGTTGGGACTTCAGTTTTTGCAAGGAAGTAGTTAAGTATTATATATGGACATTTTTCAACATTCCGAGTTATTGGAACTAACTGATTTATGACATGATATTAGAGTTGATTTGTCTTTGAGAGCACGTGTTTATGTTCTCACGATCCCCAATATAAATAGTTGTCTTAATATGAAACACGTGAAATGGTGGACATGTGCAAACTTCAAGCCTATGAATTGAATTTCAATTGAGAGAATGTGTAAGAAAGTGATTAAATATTAAACATGAACATCTCCCAACAACTCGAGTTATTAAAAACCATATGTTTTAGTAACAGTTCTGTTTTTGTTGTCATCGTAGCAGACTTTCAAAAACACATATAATTAAGAATGTGATTGACCGACCTTGTGGAGAAATGGTCCTTTAACAAATCATCATATATATGTAAACAATTGTTCCATCTAAGTTTTGATTTTTGGCGTTTTTTGATGACTTTGATGTTCAAAGTTTGTTGTTGGGTTAAGTAATTCTTGGGTTCTTGTTTGATTTACATCTTGTCTTCTTGTTGCATCTCGTTTCCTTCCTGGGTCTTTTGTTTGTTTTGTTTGGTGTTATTGCATATGCATATGCCTTGGGTTATGTTCTTTCTTCATCATCATCAAGTAAGTAAAAAAAATGGTCTGGAATCATCATCAAATATTAATTGATTTGCCCTTGAGAAACACAATTAATATTATTGCAAGCTCTGCATTATAAAATGCACGTTACAGCAAGCATCATGTGCTTGGATTAAGGGACCTCCGTGTCTAAAAAGTTGGTTGTTTTATTGTTCGACCATTTTCTCGTCAGTATATTTAGTATAGTACCTTAAAATCGATGACAATTAAACCTTAATTTACGGTTCGTACTGATCTGTGGTGTACGATAAATCAAAGCTTGTTAGAACGTCCATTATATATTCTTAGTATGAGTGGCTTAGATCAAGATGGTACATATATAAATTGGTACATGTAAATATACGGTGATTAGATGTTTATCAATATTAATATATATATGGTGACTAGATATCCGATGTGATAGGGCAAAGGGAATCGGTTAAAGGAGCAGTGGTATTGGGCCTATTGGTGGCCCAGCACAGAGTGTAAATGTTTGATTCAGTCTTCCGTGGTCCTACACAACAAAAAGTGTTATGGATGGGCCTATAATATATGCCCTCAATGCGGGCTTCACGTGGCAGTCATGCAACTCATGATTTGTGGGCCATGCCATTGATCCTCTTTGGATCCTCCTTTTTTATTCTAACAGTGGGGGGAAAAAGAGAGTATAAAATTATATATGTCTCTTTTAGACTCTTATTATTAGTTGACTACATGTCTTAAAAAGTTGGAAGTTGGAACTAGGAAATTATAAGCTAGCCAAATTTTAGGTAGGGGTGGATGGAGTACCAAGTTGCACATATCCATGGCTGGGAGAGGATTAAAATGATCAATAAACTTGTACGTACCAATCATTAACAAAAAATTCTGAATCATTTTCTAGATTTTGTTAATCACGAAAAGGGGAAAAAAATACCCGTTACCATGATGAATGTAAGGAGCACCATCGATCGAGTCACATTTTGGAGGGCCTCTCAAAGTAGTATCGACGACATTTGAGAGTCCACATGTCCACTGATATATATATAACATTTATTTCATGTAACAATCAATGAATTTGATCAATAGGTTAAACAGATAATTATATTACATGTTGTCAAAAAATCTTCACAATGAAATCTGACTCGAATATTTGCGTGACGACACTCCACTTGACCACTAGTGGATTTACCACCAAAAGAGGCTTATAGTCCATAGAATTTGCTTCCCATAGCCAAAGGCGTGCTGGTTTGGCGAAATGAGGTTAATCATGATCAACCAAAATTCAGATTGAAGTACTGTTTTATTAGTTGCTTGAAATTCTTGTGACTGATTTGTCAAATCGAAAATTTTGGTGACTGATTTGTTAGCCACTCCAAAGTTGAGGAATCATTTCTGTAACTAAGCCATTAGGGGAATCGTTCGCGGATTGTGGACGAAACTACCGAAGACTCCGTTACGATCTTCGCTGCAATTGGCGAGTGGCGATACGGAGTTTCACCGGCGACCGGCGGCGGAACGGCGACAGCAACCTCGCTACAATCGTAATTATAAATTGTAATGTCAATCCGAAGCTGTCTCAAAAACCTCAACACCGTCAAAAAACGTCTTCGTCTCCCACTCCTTCACCAAGAGCCATACCGTGAACTCCCGCCGTCCATCGCCAAAACCTTGGACCCTTTATCTTCTTCCCCGCCTTCACCCGCCGCCGCTCTCTCTTATCTCAGCCCTTCGAAACTGCTACAGATTCTCGCCGACCCTGCCGTCAAGCCCACGGAGGGCTACCAATTCTTCAATTGGGTGCTCGAGAACCTGTCGTCGGTCTCCTTCATCCCCGATCCCCAGGCGCATTTGACGCTCGTCTGCAGGCTTCTGGAGGTGAAAAGGTTCCCGGAGCCCGAGAATATCTTGAAGAGCTTGATAATTGATCAGAAGGACAGCCGGGCAGGTACCCATTTCCTCTACTAGCTTCTACTGTGAAGAACTGTTCAATGTGTATTCCGAAAACAAGAAGTTTGAGCAAGTTGTGGAGTTCGTTGATTACATGGGGGAAAATGCAGTGGAGATTGATGAGAGAACGTGTACTCTGTATTTGCTTGTGCTCAAGAAGAATCAGGAGATGAAGTTGGTCTTGGAGTTCTTCCACCGAATGATAAAATCTGGCATTGAGATCTCTCCTTACTCGCTTGCAGTTGTTGTTGGTGGGTTGTGCGAGAATGGAGAGATCAGAAGGTAAAGAGAATTTGTAGAGGAAATGGTCGGTTATGGGATCAAGCCGAACATCGTTACTTTCAACATAATGCTGAACGCCTTTTTGAAAAGGTGGAATTTTGGACAGTTGGGAGTTGTTGATCTTAGCAGTTAGCACTGATGAAGAATCAAGAGACACCCTGCGATGAAAGAACTTATAAAATACTGATTGATGGCTATGTAAGCTGTGGGAAGCTCGAAGAAGCTGAAACGATGGTTTTGGAGAGGCATGATAAAGGTTTTGGAGGAGATTCCCACTTGTGGAACTTGGTTATAACTCGGTACTGTAGGCAAGGCCTCGTCGACAGAGCAGCTTTACTGTTCGATAAAATGACCCTGAGAGATGTCACTTCGAGTGCTGCTACGTACTGTGCATTGATTAACACCACTGTGTGGGGAAGAGAAGATTGAGGCTGCCATGGTGTATGTGAGCAGGATGGTGAAGGATGGGATTGAGCTAGACCGGGTTATGCTCAAGACATTAACTGATGGATTTTGCAGGAAAGGAATGGAGTCAGGGCCGTCCCATGATATTCGGAGGCCCTGTTCGAAAATTTAAAATGTGGCCCTAAAATTTTTCTCCACAAATTTATTAAAAATAAAATTTATTAAATAATTATAAAAAAATACATAGTCTCAGAAAATGATTACAAAAGAAATAAATGATCACCTTTTTAGTTTGACGAAGAAACCAAAACCAAATTCCCAGGGCTGTCTAATGCTTCGTGGGGGCCTTGTTCCAAAATTGAGACGTGGTCTAAATTGATTTTTAACTATAATAAAACTAAAATAACTGTAATATCTTTCTACATAGCTTAAAATAAAATTAGGGTAATGTCTATTTTTTATCCAAACCTTTTTCAGATTCTTTTATATTATCCAAACCTATTAAAAATTTATTAATTAGCCAAATTTTTCATAATGCACCAAAATATTAGTCATTTTTACGTTATTGTTAATAATTTTGTAACTCTTTTCTTAGTTAAAATACTAAAATTTTGGAATCTTGACCTTCATGTGTCTCTTCCAAGTCAGTATCATGTTGTCAAGTCAATATTACTAACAAAAATGCTAACCGAAAGTTAACATTGGGCTAATTTTTAGTATTTCGATAGGTTTGGATATTATAAAAGAATCTGAAAAAGGTCTGGATAAAAAATAGACGTTACCCATAAAATTATCTATTATCTTTCTTATTTTCGTAGTCTTCATGATATCATTTTTAATTGTTATTATAGCTAAAATTATCTATTAAAATCGTCATCATACTCATAATCAATCAATCATATACTAAAAATATAATCTACAATGTACGATTGGTAACTAACGGATCTAAGTGGAGGCCCCTAATATTCGGAGGCCCTGTGCCGGAGGGCGGGCCAGCACACCCTCTAGGCCGGCCCTGAATGGAGTCCGAGGCTTGTGATTTGCTTGTCACGATGCATGAGAGTGGAGTCGTTGATGATGTTTCTATTTGTGGGGATGTGGCTAGGCATCTCTGTTTGTTGAATCAGTTTGACAAGGCTAAGGTGCTGAATGCTGATAGATATTGGTTAGTAGAATTGAAACAGACGAATCTTCTGTTGAGAGAAATGATGAAGAGGAGGAAGATGGTAATGGAAGTTGCAATGATGACTGTAAAAAAGTTTCTGAAGTAAGTTTGAAAAGTCCGTCACCTGCACTTTGACAACCAGGTGATTACGGTAGAAACTTAGAAAAAGGAAAAAAAAGGGAGGTCGGAAGTTACTTTGAACAAAAATATGTATCTGCGTCTGCCGGGAGTCGAACCCGGGTCTATTGCTTGGAAGGCAATTATCCTAACCGTTGGACTACAAACGCTAGTTGTTTTATCTTTCTGAATTTTCATACTTTACAAATATACAAAACGCTATCAGTACACGCAAAGCAACTAATAATTCGGCCAGTTAACGAAGTACAACCACGTAGTTATACACCCATGGTTATTAAACCGTAGTTAAGTTGACAAATAATTTAGCAAAATGGAGGATAAACCAAAAAAAAAGGTGGTGGCTGAAATGTGAAATGTCATTCCGAGTCATCGACAAAACCCCTATACAAAGATAACAGAACTACTGAATATCCTACCTTGCTCCTCCAGGCCAAAAGAACACTGAGAAAAGAAACAACAAACACAACTTCACAAAGCACAAAATCTGTCCCACTACTACTAGCTCAGGGGAGTCCCAGACAAAATGGCGCCATTGACGGCCTCGGCCCCATGCTTCCCGAGGGCCGAAATGCTGAGAGAACGCCGTCTTCTTGGTTTCAGCACCTCTCTCCCGCTGCTGTTCTCTCCCATGAGGGAAGAGTAAGAGCACAATGGCTCGCCCAACCGCTCGCTCCTACTCCGGAGGAAGCGGTCCAGGTTCTGTCGATACTTGTCTGCCTTTGGCCGGTCGATTGGCTCTACCTTATCCTCCCACTCTTCCTCGTCGTCTGTCCTGTACCCGTTCTCTTGCATGTCTTCCATTGCCAGGTCGTCGTACTCCTCGTCTGACTTTGTCGACTCTTCGTCCACTGAACCAATCTGTTACCAAGGAGAGGAAGATGGCATGAATTAGTAAAGGCTTTGAAAAGCAGAGAGTTCTAGCTAGTAGGACACTGTAATCTACCTCTTCCTGATCAAGTTTGTCGCCGTCATCACTAAGGTCTTCATCACTATCAACTTCTGGAACGTCATCGTCCACTTCTTCATCGCTGCCATGCACTGAATTCTCCTCCTTGAGCTGAAGGAACAATGATTGTAAATATGGTCATTCGAAAAAGTTTTTAATCTGCGTTAGAACTGTGTTACAAAATGCACTCAGCTGGTTCAATGAAAATACCTCCTTGGCTGGTCCATCCGATGTCCTTGGCGAGCTGCAACACGAAGAATGGTATTTGCTTCCTGTGTCAGTCCCATCAGCCCGTAAATCATCCATACTACCTGCATGGCTCGTCCCACCATCACTGGGCCAAGCGCTGATCCCAAAGTGGCCAAACTGCAAGTTCACAGGCTCAGCCTTCCCAATTTGCAACGGACCATACATAGGGGTACCTATCCCGTTTTCAGCCCCGTTGCCTACAAGAGGCTTGCCATTTTTATCCACTGGACCTACAGGCCAAGCCTTTGCTACTGACCCGTCGGTGTTAAGAAGCGCCATCAGATGTCTGGAAGAACCCTGCCTCTGAATAAGCTGAAACATTCCCTTCGAGCTCAGTGAGTTTGCAGCACATTGGTTCCTGTACTCCTCATCAATAACTGTAACCGTATTAGTAGATGGATCATATGGCTGTTCCCCTGCTTCGCGTCTTCTAAGGCATCCGAAAACTGTCGCATGGATTGCAGCCACACTCTTGTCGACATTCGTGTTGTTTATTTTCGGGACGAGGTGTTTGTCAGCTCGCTTGGTGAGGTAATCCTGGATTGTCCTGATGTTTCTGATGTACTTTACATATTTGTTCTTAGCAGGGTCCAATGTCATGTACTTTGCACGAACGGCAAACCTCTCCAAGTGTTTATCTTCATTTGTGATGTATATCATGAACGGGATGATTGAAGGATGTTTCTTCATAAGCCCCATCTGAAGCACACAGAAAATGCAAGAGAAGCCTTCAGAAATTACTTCTGATGAAGGGAAATTTTATGACGAACAAAGGACTGAGGAATCATTACCACAAAATTCAGGCTCAAGTGTACTCCCTCAACAACCACGGATTCCTTCCTGTCTTCCCATGAAGTTATCAAGCGATCGAGACTGTCAATCACCATTTCACTTTGTGCTTTGAAGCCTTCAATAGCCATTTGTTTTGGGCTAATCACCCCTTCTGGGACTTGACTAGTATCATGTTTTCCTGCAGTAGAACCATCAGCTGGTTCTTCCTTGGGACGTGCTTTTGCAATGCTAGCTAATTTTTTTTCTCTTCTCCTAGCCGTTGCCTCAGCAACAGCCTCAGGATCCAAATACTCTCCGGCATGATAAGTTGATGCCCAAAGAAGTGGATTTTCCTTTTCATCCACAAAACTCCTCATCATGTGACGAATTGAGTCTGTTGATACAACGGTGGTAATCCCCAATCTGCTACCCTGCACAGAACAAAGGTACGGAAATCAGCTCCCATAACTGTTATGTCTTCCCAGTTCTACACCTTTTCACAAGGAATCCCATTAAGAGGGGTTACCAAACAGCAGTACCAGAAGCAAAAAACATAGATTCAGACAAGTGAAGCTGCAATACCAGCAATGCAGACAAGGTAGATTTGCCACATCCACTAGTGCCACACAACAGCACAGTTACAGACTCCTTCTTTTCTCGAATTCTGCATCAAAGTAGAGCATCTTATATAATCTAAGAATCAGGCTCGGAGCAGTGAAATAAACGGTAAGCAGGTAAGTTCAGTTCGGGTGAAGAGGGGCCAATAACACAATCAGAATTTCAGAACAGCCGATCAACGGCAACAAAAAACAAGTATGCAGAATGAAAATTAGTGTTAAACCGAGCAAGCATAACACCGATCTGAGGAATGCATAACTACTATGATGTACGATCTATAATATTTGACTGCATAGACCTAGAACAACATTCAGCTCTAGAAAGTCCTTGGTCATGCTCGCGTCATACGATCAAACAGAAGATCGACACTTTGTGAAGGAGTAAATAAGTTAGAATACAGTTCATGCACAAAATCACCAAGAGACAAATAAGAAATAATCTGTAAAGAAGTATTTGGTAGTTTACCTGCACGCCAAAACAAGGTCTGCCCTCTGGTTAGGACCCACATACTTGTATTCAGCCAGAGCTTCACAAACAACATCTAAGAAAGTTTCTCTTCTAACAACCAAGGTTGTACGCCGCTTGTACAGTTCAAATGGCACGCTTCTATCTTTGCCATTTTTCTCAGAAGGAAAGGTCCCCAAACCATCGCTCTTCTCTAAATTTTGTTTTGAAGCATCAAGGCCTGCCTTGTCTTCTTTTAAGATTCCAGTATCAATTGAAGGTGCATTTCTTATAATTTCTACAACCCTTCTGCTTATCTACGAAAGAAGAAAGATCAAAGTCAGTAAACGTGCATATTTCCATAAATGAAAGAGACAAGGATAGGCAGATCAACAACTTATGGCTTCAATACATGTAAGTAAGCTAATACAACTTGCCACACCAAAGAACCGTAAGATGAAGAAAAAACTATCAAAACAATCCGGAAAGCAGCATCACTGCCAACAGTGACGGCCTACATCCAACTCACAACCACACAGACAACTACCCTTCATACCAAAATCGTCACACAACATTGTACGCTTACTGTGAATGAAAGCATAAATGTTAGCAGGAAATCATTCCTGGTATAACATGCAGGTAAAATAAAGAATATCGAGAGGGATCTCAGGAAAACTGCTCAAAGAAAACTGAACTTGTCTCTTCATTAAAGCTTGAGGTAAATTTCCTTACAAGTCACAAGCAGCTAAAAGGAAAATGGGCATCGGGCAAAAAGGGAATTGAGAGAAAATGCAGGAAAAATTAGGATAGGGAGAGGAGTAAACAGTATGAAAGTGACTCGACATTTTCCCAGTAGCTGTCTGATTAGGTGAGAATCAGCACTGGTGGGACAAAGGCATAATCGACCTGGCATGGCGTTACATCAATCAAAGCTGTTAAGATTCAAAGCATTAATACCCTTCACACTTCACTTTCAGAAATTTAAACGCGAAGAACGTTTCTAAGAAAACAAGTTGCAGACCGGATCTAAAATTTCCTATTCCCAGTCCTAACTCCAGAATGGAAAAGTAAACAGTAACGCCCGTAGAATCAACATTCAAGGAAGCCGGTAAGCCATCACCGGTGCCCTAACACCGCAGCCGAATCTTGAATTTGGAAACAAAACATAAGAGGAAAAATCCAAATCAGAGATGGGGAAAGGTCGGGAGTTTTAACCTTGAAAGCATGGCGAGCTTTACATCCCATGAGCTGCAGAGTGCTCTGCAGAACCGGACGCGTGTACCGAAACGAGCCTCTCCCCTTGTCTCTTCCCTCCTCCTCATCGACCACCACTATATACAGCACCTTCGCTATCTCCGCCATTGCTGCAACCAGGAAGCACCAAAAGTCCAAAACCAAACAGAAAACAAACAATCAACCACATTGCATTATTCAATCAGTCAACAACCGCCCGAGGAAAAACAATTCGACACCGACATGCAACAAAACTCCGCTGAGAAAAGGACGAGCGCGTGGCGCCAAAAAAAAATCAACATCAGATCACACACAAAAAAAATTCCCGCTAGAGCGGCCAATGCTGGCCGATTCGAGAGAAGGGAATCACAACCTTGATCAGTCCCGGAACCTAGATCGGCGTTTCTCGTCGTCGTAAGAACAGATGGGGGTGGGGAAATCACGGGTGAATTGGGGGCGAGAGAAGAGAGAGAGAGAGGGAGGGGAGGAAGAGGTTAGGGTTTATGGAGAAGGATCAGAGACATGGCGCTGGTGGGGCATATGAAGAAGCCGAGGAAAGTGAGAGGAGAGAGGAAGGAGGAAGAGGAGGATCTCGCCATTTTTGTTGTGTCTCAGCTTGCAGAGGAGCTTCGTCTTCTTCTGTCACCTGTCCTCCACGCATCGCAACGACAGTGCTTCCACGAGTCTTTTTCCTTCCCTCTGCCTCCTTTTATTTCTTTCTTTTTCCCCCGCGCTTGCCGCTCTGTGAAATGACGGTATTGGGCTTCCGTTCGCATTGATATTCGCATGTGGCCTGGCCTTTGTAACTCCGAAGCGCGTGCCAACTCCTCAAGAAATGGGCTTATTTGGATCCCCCGCGGTGAAAATAATTAGATAACACGGTTAAGTTAAGTAGAATAGTAAATTGTTAAATTTTATACCAATACCAAGAAAAAGTCTATAATTTAAATTTTGGGTCAATTGAATTTTATATTTTCAGTATTGACAGATGTATATTAAGGTTTAATTTTTGTTAACGGTGATTGTTAGAGATCAACAATCAACATGTTAATTGACGATGTGTCATCTGATGCGGATTCTTTTGTCATCTCATTTAGAAAATTTTCAGATAAAAAAAATACCTACAAAGACAATATGATATTGGCCACAAAAATTGCAGAATTTATTATAATTTTTTTACGATAAAGTTAAAAAAAATTGACCGTGTAAAAAATTCATAATTGCGACTTGATTTGCCTTATGTGCCTTATATTGACAAGTTTTATCCAAACTATACATTTTTCCTCGTCTAAATTATACATAATTTTACTTATTGTTTTTACCTTTATCACGTCATAGTTTAGCTTGAATAAAATTGAAATATAATTAATTGATAACCTTTTTTTTTTACAAAAGATAATCATATATTGATAAAGAAAAAGTAGTTAAACCCTAGACACTAGCCAGGCCCGGAAATCAAAAGAAAGACCCATAGTCGGGAACAAAGAGAGGGCTTTACGAGTCACCAAATGGGCTAACATATTGCTACGCCGACCTACAAATCTAACACTAAACCCAGGATTACCGGCAAAAATCTGAATAATCTCATCGAGCACAGCACCCAAGCGACTATCCCGAGCCTCCCTGCGATTGATTTTATCAATGATAACCTGTGCATCCCCTTCAAAAGTAATGTCCGCCCAACCGAACGACTGACACCACAGAACAGCCTCCCGCAGTGTGACTAATTCCACCGCCAAGGGGTCCTCAATCCAAGGAAACTGAACCCCCTTCGCTAACAGAACTTCCCGGTCCTGGGTGAGGAGGACCAGACCTCCCGCCGAGTGGGAACCACTCCGGACAGCCCCATCCCACATGCAAATAACTCCTTGCCCCCTAACCACCCCATGATGGGTGGGAGCAGCCCGGACACCACAGGGGGCCTTATCCACCGGAAGCCGAACCCATTCCTCATACTGCTGGTGGAACTGGCGCATCAGGGCAGAAAACCCAAACTGCTTGTCTTCAAAGACAACCCAGTTTCGAGAACGCCAAATACGTCATAAGACAGCCACCACCGCCATAATAACAGTAGGTTGATTAATCAAAGCCATTAGCCGCTTGAGGAAAAGGGGAAAAGTATGACGAGGAAGCCCCTCCCCTAAGTGAGCCAACCCAGCATAATCCCAAATAGCCCGAGCTACTGGACAATCAAGAAAAAGATGTTCCATGGTCTCCGATTCTGCCCAACACACCGGACACCTGGGATGTACCGGGACCTTCTTCTCAATAAGAGCCTCAGTAGTAGGCAGAATCCGATTTAGAATCTGCCAGAGGAAGACCTTTAACTTGGGAGGGATATTGGCTTCCCACAACCAAATCCAGCTCGCCCTATCCATCCAACTGACCCCAGATTTCCAACCCCCCCGACGCTTATCAAGAGAGACTGCTAAATGATATGCCGACTTGACCGAGAACACCCTATCAGGGGAATCATGCCAAATTAACCTATCCTCTATCAACTGTCGTGGAAGAGGTATAGTCTTGATGGCTCTGCATGTCGGTGGGTCAAACCATTGGCTAAGAACTTGATCATTCCATCTCCCCTCCCTATGACAGATTACCTCCTCAACCTTCAGGTCACCCTCATCCGGTATTTATATAGCACTGAGTGCAAGTATTTTTCTTTTGAAATATATGTCCACATGAGCAACCTACGGTCTGAATCAAAATACTCAAGTTATACCCGACCTTCCACGAGATAGGTCTGAGCATTAAGGTACATGCCCCATGCTCAACCCCAACTTTCGAATATGGTTAGGAAAAAATTATAGTAAATTTGAAAATAAGAATAGTATATAATGTTTTAGTCCTTCCATATCCATTTATCACGGTTCAAAACTTTATAATTAAAGTTTTGTAACTCCATCACTCAAATTTATATGAACCCGTTGCTACCTACCACTCATTAACACTCCACTCCTAATCAGAATTTCCTCTTTTACCCCCTTGCAAAATCAATGTGCTTTTCCTCTTTTACCCCCTTGCAAAATCAATGTGCTATATGATAGCTGGGATTCAAGAATACTATGGTCTGTTAGAATATGTCAAAAGAATAATGAAATGTACACTTAAAGAAAGCCTAATGTTACGGTTTCCTTGTGAGTTATGCAACATCAAGAAGAAATTTGGGAGAGGAAAAGGGTAGGGAAGATTTCTTTTCCACTCACATCAATGGACATTGTAGACCTTTAGTCTTTAGACACGATTGATAGATCACCATAACTCGGAATGCACCACGATCTCAAGTTTATTGTTTTGTCATAGTACTATCAGTATCATATAGGGTTAATGAATGGTTATGTCGCTAACAGTTTTAACCGATAACCATACCGCTTACCGATTGTTAATGACTAAACCATTAACCGTTAAGAAGAATGTGGGTTCCTTAACAGAAGTTGAAAATTGCTTATCGGGTTACCAAGCCATAAACGGTTAGCGGTTAATCGATAAGGATTATCAACCACACAAAAATAGGCAATAACGCCACACTCAATGAAGGACATGATTCCCCCACCACCCCCACACTTACCGAATCCAATCTTCTCGTCTTATCGGCTCAAACGAAAAAACGAAGATCGATCGACAAAGTTGTGACACGAAACACAAATCATTAGGGATCAAATCTATGGACCCTCTTTGGTGGGTTCCCCACAAATCATTATGAAGAAACATGTATACTCCAATGGTAGAAAAGAGACCAATGGATCATATTGGATGATCCCATCAAGTCATTCTACCCACTCTATATTTCAACATTAACTTCCACCACCATGTACGAACGAAGATAATATGCAATCAACAATTCGTTACTAGTTTCACAAGTGTGTATTTTGCTCATCGAAATTTATTCTTTTTTCCCCCTTCGAGTTTAAGGGTTTGCGTAGGGGTGTTCAAATGGTTACCATGGTTATAACCAAACCAAATAAGGCTAAATTCCATTAACCATGGAATACAATATCATAACCAAACCGTCCAAACTAATACAAAAACCAAATTAACCAAATTAAAGTTTAATCGGTTTGGTTAATTGGTTAACCAGATTAACCAATATAAAATTACATTATCATTGACGATGAAAATTTTCCGGTTAATGCAACAATTCGCAATTTATATAATGAATAAAACATAACAATCAACACGTAGTTATAGTTGACCATTATCAAAAATACATGAAACTAAGACAATTATCTTACGATTAGTATAGAAGTATTCACCTAACAAAAATTTATGACAATGGTATGGGTTAATGAATTGTTGTGTTTGTGTAAATTGACTTAGTCTCTTAGCAATTATCATAGGCTGGAAATGACCTTCCTTTCAAGTTTTCCGCCATCATAATGTATGAAATTTATCAAAATTAGGTGTCCATATGTTGTGGTCTACATTTTACATATACAAATATACACTATATGAGCAATATTGAGCTTTATATTTTATGAGTCTAAAAGGGATGAACGTTAACTCTTGAGTGGTTATGCAAAGTATTAAGTATGTGTATATAATATATGTTAGATATATGAATAATTACTTAACTGGTTAATTTGGTTTGACTGGTTAGGAGTGTCTGAAACCAAACCAAACCACCTAAACCAAACCAACTAAAAACTTTAACCAAACCAAACCAATTATCCAAATTAACCAAACCAAATTATCCAAATAGTACTGGTTAAAACGGTTACCATGGTAACCAAACCGTTTGAACACCCCTAGGTTTGCTGATGAAATTACATGGTATTGGAGAAGGAATATCAGCTTCTGATCATTTCTGAAGGCCAAAATCTGGTTCTGTTCTGTCTACGGAAGAGCATCTTAGAGCCGTAGCTAGGCTCTGCGAATCATTGCTATTTGCGGCTATGCAAACTACATAAACGCAAGATTGCTAATCGTCAATGGTGGGTACAGCCACTGAAAGCATATATGTATTTCTCTAGTGTCTTTGATTCTGTTCTCAAATGATTGCTAAAGAGTAACGACCATTCATCATCAGTTTCTGCTTAGCTGGGATTTCCCACTAGCAAGATTCATAATGACCTTAATCGGCGGCGACTTTTCTTTTGTAAAAACACAGAATGTATCGTACAGATCCCACCTTAGCTAAGGTGGTGTTTGCCTGTTTGGGGGCATGATTGGCTGATCACTTCTTTCAGCTGCTCTGCTTTTAGTTAGGCACACAGGCAGGAGAAGCAAAAAAATACATATTCGTCTACTTAAAATGTGTAAAGCATGAATTCTTCACTTCACTAGTTATTGTAGTTAACGCTGCGGTCTGTTTGTTTATTAGGGCTGGGAAATAGTGTCCTCTGATATAGATGAAACAATATATCCAGTATATTGTTCAAATTGAGAGGTCGAAACATAAATTAGGAATAAGACAAAGTAAATTATGGTTCAGACCAGAATACATCTATACGGTTGTTATTGTGTAAGAAATCAATGGTTTATTTGGTCTATTCATATGCAATCTGGAACCAAATAAGAGGGAAACCTTGTTTTTCCCTCAAAATCTTAATTTTAACATGCATGCATAATCTGAATGCCCTAAATTGACGTAAAGATAGAGAGTAACACAATTTCCACCATAACGTAAAAAAAAAACATAACATAATATCATATATGGAGACATGATCGTCCTGCTTACTAGTTGAATATGATCTGTAGAGGAAGGAGGAGACATGATTCATGATATCAGAGTTCATAATTTGGCCTTGTTTGGTTCCACGGTTCGAACTGGACCGACCAAGAGATCAAAAGAGCCCATAATGCATATAATGTACCCGGCCAAACCATTATTAGCATTTTATGTTTAAGATCAAACTATGTGGTTCGGTTTGATCCACATGTTCTCAACCGTCCGATCTGTTTTTTCATCCCTAGTTATGTGTGTGGAATGTTAAAAAGGAACTTCCTCCTACTGTTCGAGTTTCTGGAGCCAACTTATTCTCAAAATAATTTGCCAGAACTTATGATAACATATTGACAGAAGTATAATGAATAACAAATTCGTACAAATTTCAAACCAAACCCATAAATTCAGTTTTGGACACTTTCTTTCAAAAGACATGGTTATAGACAAATACCGGTGTCCTTATAAGTTATAAGCAATTTATAGAAGGAAGCTTATAATACTCCAAGGAAACAACTGTGGGAGTTTGTTGAGTCTAATTCAATGTCTTAACTATCTTGCCTAGATGGTTGTTGACAATGTACGTGTGGTATGTTGAGGGATATGGTTGAATTGAAATATCCTACAATACCAAATCCAATGTGGTGTGCAGTCAAGATAGGCAGCTTCAGTCAACTTGTGGCTGTTCAAAATCCTTCTCCAACCTGCAATAGTCTAATAATATGGGGTTCATTTTGGTAGTTTACCAGCTCCTACTACGCTGACTAGACACACACTTGTTGGGCTTCAGTGAAGGTCAGTCCAATAAGCCCAAAAGTAAAGTTTATGCCCAACCCAAGCCATGGAAAATACTGGGCCTGAGTCCATCTCCCGTTCCTTTCCCTCTCAATCAGTCTTCTTGTTTCACCACTTGCAAACCCAGCTGCGCTGCCGCTGCCACTGCCGCTGCCGCCGTTACCGCAGCAGCAGTCGCAGCAGCAGTCGCCTTCTCGTCGCCCATTCGCCGTATTTCCTGTTAATTCGTCGGAAAATGGGGATTAAGTTGAGCATCAACGTCAACCGGAGCGAGTTCCTGGACTATCTCCAGCTCGTCCAGCTGTACGAGTACGTGGATCGCATCGTCAGTCGCCATGGTTCTTTCCTCGACCACCAGTTCGCTACGGACCCGGATTTCAGGAGGCGGGTTGTGGATCTAATGGCGCGAATTAAAGAAATTCGGGGCAAGAAGCACTACGCCCTAGAGCGCAAGCTGTTGCACGAATTGTGCGAAACATACGAGGACCAGGTCGGCGGAGCTCGTACCGACTACCAGTACAGGCTTTATCCGGCGGCCGGCGCGGTCGCCATTGCGCTCAGCAAAACCTTCACCGCCCCGCTCGCCCGCCTCACCATTCTTTCGCAGGTTGCAGGGATGCATTACCAGAGTACGGCGCTGATGAAAGGCAGGATGTTGTGGGAGGCTCGTCGAATTGTTGGCGAGGAAGGGTTCAGAGCCCTCTGGAAGGGAAATTTGGCATCTGTTGTTCATCGAGTGCTCTTTGCTGGTGTCATTATGCTTGATTATGAGGATTACAGGAAGGTAGGAATATGGGCTCTCGATCTTTTGTTTGCTTTCTTAGTGTTTATTTCCCAAATCCAGTTTCCCTGGTTCTAATTGGCAGAATCTGGGGCGGGTGATTGGTGGCACTGATGCAAATTCAACTGGTTTGGTGAATCTAATTGCTGGAGGATTGACGGGAATTGAAGCTACTTGTATCACGTATTCTCTAGATATGGTCAGGACTAGGGTGGCAGCTCAGGTATCTACTTCTATAACCTTTTGTGAACTTCAGTCGCCTGAGATATCAAAATACCATATGATATATGATAACTTTCTGGGTTTGATGTTGAACTCTGAGGTTTGTTTTGGTGTAGAGGAACTCAATCTATGGGCTCAGGGGCACTTGGCATGCATTCTATGATGTACATTCTGCCAACGGGTTTTTACCTGATACCATGTTTAAGGGACTTGGAGCGACATTGCTGGTGGGTAGGTTTTTGTATTGTTTACTTGTTCTATTACATATTTTTTGAACTGTTTCGATAACCATCTGATTTGTGGTTCGTTGTTTCAGGGAACTGTTCCATCTATGGCCATAAGCTTCTTTGTCTATGAATCCTTCAAGTCCTTTCTGAAAGCTCGAAGGTAGACCTGATCGAGCAATGTTGTTCCTTTTGGTCATATTTTCTCATGTCTATATGCTTAGTAACTTTGTCGGTCTGTTTGTTAGGCCCGGAGATGACTCTCCAATCACGGTTGGTCTGGCCTGTGGCAGCATTGCTGGTCTTGCAGCTTCCACAGGTGAACAAACACAGCCAGAACTCTACTTGCTTTGAACACAAGTTATCTAGTGATCAATTGGCTCACAGAACTTGGAACTTTTGCAGCAACGTATCCTATTGATCTGGTGCGGAGAAGGATGCAGTTGGATGGAATCGGTGGTCGAGCACCTATTTACACAAGTGGAGTGCGCGAGACATTCAAGACCATCATCCGGAAAGAGGGATTCCGGGGTTTGTACAGAGGGATCTTTCCACAGTGCTTGAGAGTGGTACCGGGGCATGCAGTTGCGTTTATGAGCTTCGAGATGATGAAGATGTCCATCGCCACCTATGGGGTAATCAAGAGCCAGACTGTGTCCAGTTAATGAACATTGCAGGTAGATAGAGGGCCTGACCTAACTGTTTCACACTGACATGCATACGTGCAATTTAACCTACCAATCGAGATGTTTAACGATGCTAGTAGATTGTAGTCTTATAGGATGAATTGTAAAGGTCGAATAGTGGTGAAGGATCCATGTTGTGATGGACTTAGCAGATATCTTTTGGTTAGATCTGCAATTAGAGTAATGAATTGCAAATTTGCAATGAATATTGACGAGGTTGGATACTAGAATAGCATGTCTGGAATTGTGAAATCTGGGAATGAGTTATGTGAGTTGACTCTAATCTCCGAATTCACCCACCGATTCAAAAATACTTGCAACTCGAATCGATAGAAGAGGTCCCGACTCGAGCTCCCCATCCACCGCTGTTGTCACAGCCTCCATCTCGGCCATTATAATATGAAAATTCAAGATTTTTACCGTTAGCAATGTTCGAACCTGCCCCTGCAGCAGCAACATTTCCATTTACGGCATGTACTTTCTTGGGCTGCAAGCTTTGTTGTTTTCTTCATTTTCGGATAGTCTTGTCTGTAGTGGCCGAGCTCCAGCTATTTAAACTAAGAGATGAAGTGGGAAACACACCAAGTCTAGGGTTTCTCAGCCACATTTTGGTGCTGCTCGTGGCCGCCGGCGACGAAAACCAGAGCTTTCCCGTTCATTTCTCGAAAAAATGGGAGTTAATTTTAGCCTCCCGGCCGACCGCAGCGAGTTACTGGAATATCTCCAGCTTGTTCAGCGGATCGATGAGATGGGTCGCGTCCTCCGTATTCATGGTTCTTTCCTCAGCAAATCTACGGACCAGGATTTCATGAAGCGGGTCGAAGAGATTAAGCAGCGAGTCGAAGAAATGCCGCGCGGGGACGGCTTTGCTCAATTGCGTAAGCTGGCGCAGGATTATTGCGAACTATTGGAGCACCAGATTGGCAGAGGTCGTCCCTACTACCAGTACATGCTCTATCCGGCGGCCGGCTTCATCGCCATAGCTCTGAGCAAAACAGTCACCGCCCCTCTCTCCCGCCTCACCATTCTTTCCCAGGTTGGAGGGATGCATTACAGCAGCACGGCGTTGATGCAAGGCAGCATCATGTGGGAGGCCGTTCGAGTTGTTGCGGACGAAGGGTTCAAAGCCCTATGGAAGGGCAACACGATCTCTGTCATTCGTGGAGTGCATTTTGCGATTGTCAGTATGGGTAGCTATGCGTTTCTCAGGAATGTAAGAAAGGGTTTCCATTCTTTGTTGCTTGGTTTGATTTGCTTGGATTGGTCACAATTTCCCCCCCAATTTCGTGGGTTTGGGATTTCGTTTCATTGGCAGCTTCTGGGATCAATAATAGGCTGTGATGACGCAAATTCAACTCGTATGGTGAATCTAATGGCTGGAGGGTTGGCGGGAATCGAAGCTACCATGTTATCGTATTCTCTGGATGTGGTGAGGACCAGGCTTGCAGCTCAGGTATGTAGCATCATTACACAAGCTGTCATGTTAGACTGATTTTGTGGGTTCAAATTTGATTTCTGAGCTTTGTTTTGGTACAGAGGAACTCGATGTATGGCCTAAAGGGCACTTGGCATGCATTCCGTGATCTACATTGTGGCTCAGAACTTCACTCTCCATTCTTACGTAAAGGATTTGGACTGGCATTGCTGGTGAGTAGAGTAAGTTTATTTCACTGGTGGTTGTGATTAGTTCTTCTTTCTATAACCATCTGGTTTCTGTTTCAGGGAACTGTTCCATATATGGCCATAAGCTTCTTCGTCTATGAATCCTTCAAGTCCTTTCTTAAAGCTCGAAGGTAGACTTGATCGAGTAGCGTGCTTCTCTTTGTCACAGTTTTCTCTTGTGTTCTTATGCTCAGTAACTCTGTATGTTCCTGTTAGGCCTGATGATGATTCTCCAATCATGGACGGTCTCGCTTGTGGCAGCATTGCTGGTCTTGCAGCTTCAACAGGTAACCAAACACAGCCTGCACTCCACTTGCTTCCAGTTCGATTTATGTAGTGATCAATGTACTCACAGAACTTTGGGAAACATTGCAGCAACGTATCCTCTTGCTCTGGTGCGACGAAGAATGCAGTTGGATGGAATCTGTGGTCGAGTGCCTATTTACACAGGTGGACTGCTCGAGACATTCAGGACTATCATCCGGAAAGAGGGATTCCAAGGTTTGTACAGAGGGATTGGTCCACAGTGCTTGAGAGTGGTGCCGGGGCATGCAGTTGCGTTTATGAGCTTCGAGATGATGAAGATGTCCATCAGCGCCTACCAGGACTTCAAGCGCAAGGCCAAATCCAGTAAATGAACATTGCAGTCAGAAGGGGGTTCACCTAACTGTTCGCATTGATATGTGTATATGCGCAGTTTAACGTACTAATGCTGATGTTAACCAATGCTACTAGATTGTAGTTAGCTAGGATGGATTGTAGAAGTTGAATATTGGTGTAGGATCCATGTGATAGACTAAGGAGAAAATCTTTTGGCTGGCTCGTTAATTAGAGCCATGCATTGCAGCGAATTTTGGCGGTGACGGATTCAGAAATAGTATTTCTGGGAATTTTGGAAGGAGCTGCTCTAATCTTTAACGATACTGAACCCTCCAATCAACTTGGTTTCAACTTGAGTTAACCTGCATATTCGTATCTGGGTGAATTCAACATGTGGATTGACACAATCCTGGAAATTGGGAAGTACTCATCACCGGATTTTGTGAACTTATTAATCTCCAATTCGATACACTTGAACCTTACAATCCTCACTACAAAAACACCCCACTATTCGCTCTTCAGGTTCAGCGCCAGGAAAAGTACCCCAGACATCTTTTGATAAAATTCCTAACTAATGATACAACTTTCCTTCTAAAGTGAAATGGGCGGGGTTGTTTCTTTGACTAGACAGTCATTCCTTGCGGAGCAGCAGCAGCTGGTGATTTGGGTTTAGGCTTGTCCACAACGATAGCCTGGGTTGTCAGCACCATTCCAGCAACCGATGCCGAATTCTGCAGCGCACATCTTGTCACCTTAGCTGGGTCGATCACTCCAGCCTCCACCAGGTTCTCGTACGTATCGGTCATGGCATTGTAGCCAACCTCCCATTCACTCTCCTTCACCTTCTCAACTACCACTTCCCCTTCAACTCCAGCGTTCTGAGCTATCAAAGATGCTGGAGCTACCAACGCCTGCACAAAACATAAACCACAAATCAGTCACTTACTAACTCAATCAATCACACTTCTCTTCCCTGAAACAGACCACCAGTAGAATCACCTTCTGTATGATGTCAGCACCAAGGCGCTCATCAGCATCTTCGAGCTTTTCCTTTATGGCAGGCACGAGAGTCGACAGGTGAACAAGTGCAGCTCCACCACCAGGGACAATGCCTTCTTCAATAGCCGCAAAAGTTGCATTCTTGGCATCCTCAATACGGAGTTTTCGGTCCTCGAGTTCAGTCTCTGTTGCAGCTCCTACTTTAATCACAGCAACTCCACCAGACAACTTGGCTATCCTCTCCGCAAGCTTCTCCGAGTCGTAGACAGAATCAGTCTCCGACAGTTCCTTCTTCAACTGTGCAACCCTGGAAGACAGCTCATCCTTGGAAGCAGCATCAGCAATTATGGTCGTCGAGTCCTTGCTTATGGTCACCTTCCTGGCCAAACCCAGCTGGTCGATGTCAGTTTGCTCCACTAGCAACCCAAGATCACTAGCTTGGAATTCAGCTCCTGGGAGAGAGACAAAACCATTGAGAATCAACAAAAGCAAAGTTCCACAATGTGTGCTTCCCTCAAGAATAAAACCTGAATGGCTCACTGATTCGGAGACATTAAAGAGAATAAGATGCTACCTGTCAAAATGGCAATATCTTGAAGCAAGGCCTTTCTCCTTTCACCAAATCCTGGTGCTTTAATGGCAGCGACATTGACGATTCCTCGGAGCTTGTTAACAACTAAGGTTGCCAAAGCCTCCCCAGTAATATCCTCAGCAATGATAAGCAAAGGAGCTCTCAGCTGAGTCGTCTTCTCCAGTAAAGGAATTATGTCTTTGATTGCTGTAATCTTTTGGTCTGTAATCAATACCCTAGCATTCTCAAACTCACAGATAAGTTTCTCTGGGTTCGTCACAAACTGAGGGGAGATATAACCTCTGTCTATCTGCAATCACAATAAAGCAATGAAAATTTAACCCCGGAGAAGGTCCACATTCAAAGCAATGCCATAATGAGAGTAAGGAAATGCATACCTCCATTCCTTCTTCAACTTCTACAGTGGTCTCGAAAGAGGAGGATGACTCAATTGACAGGACACCATCAGGGCCAACCTTGTCAATAGCATCAGCAATCATTGTCCCAATGAGCTCATCATTTCCAGCAGAAATAGTAGCAACAGCTGCAAGAGTTGATTTGATTAATACTATAAGCACAGCCCTTTGGAGCAGTATCCAAGAGAGAAATGAAGAATAAGAAGAAGAAACTAAGTACACAATACCTTTAATGTCATCACGACCTTTAACAGGCCTAGACTTCTTTTCAAGCTCTTCAATCAAACCCAGCACAGTTTTATCAATTCCCTTCTTTAGAGAAACTGGATTTGCACCAGATGTAACAGACAAGAGCCCAAGTTTAATGATCTCCCTAGCAAGAACAGATGCAGTTGTCGTTCCATCACCGGCTGAGTCGTTTGTTTTGCTAGCAACCTACATCAAGACCATAACAAGTGAGTGAACAAAGGAATCCTTCCAGAATGTGATCACAACAAGGTAAAAAAAAAAGGTATATACAGCTGACAGAAAAGGAAACTGCAAGTCAAGAAGCGACCTCTCTAATGAGAGCTGCTCCAGCATTCTCCATGGCATCAGGCAATTCAATTGCTCGTGCAATGGTTACACCATCATTGACAACCTTGGGGCTGCCATACTCGTCAAGGACAACATTCCTCCCTACAATAAGCAAGTTCACCGTTATACACATTACCACAGCAACAATCCCAATCTCATTTAACTCCAATGTTGCTTGGCATAAAAGACTAATAGCTAGAGAAAGATCATCATCCAGGAAAGGAAAACACCTTATGAACTAGCTTAAAACACCCTGCATCAAGCTGATGGCAAAAAGGTAGCAATGGAAAGAGCAATTACCCCTGGGGCCGAGGGTGAGCCCAACAGCATCAGCAAGCTTATCAATGCCAGCCTGCAACGCCCTCCGCGAGTCTTGGTCAAATGCAATGTCTTTAGCATTTGCTCTGACAGATAACCTCCTGGTGGATTGCCCAAAGTTGAACCTTTGGTTCTGCCGCGGGGTCACTTTCCTCCTCAAAGTCGCCTAATCCACCAGAGCAACCACAAAAAAAAGACCCACTAGTCAGAATTGAAATCCTCAAGATTGAATGATCTCAATTCTCAAGTCGCCATCTTTAACTGCTCATTTCATTCAAGACCTCCAAGCATCTAAGCCACAGTCCCATTGACTTTCTTTCATCATCAAATCCCATCACTTATTAGCCGAACTCAGTCCGCAACACCTTATCCCCCCCACAAAACAACCACCATTGAAGAAATGGAACGAAGCCCAGAGCAAAGGGTAGGGAGCAGCGGCAATACCTGCGAGGGAGAGCCGAAAACGGAGGCGGTGGTGATAGCACTGGAAGTTGCCATTCCTGTTGCTCGACGCTTCCTTGTAAATTGTGAGCGTTGAACGTTTCTCCTTCTGCAGGAGTTGGATGAGAGTGGGAAGAAGTAGATAAGGAAAGCTGGGAAAGAAGGCCGCTGGCGCTGGGACTGGTAGGAGTGAGGTTTGTTTAGGGTTTATTAGTTTTATCGCGATGCCTTGGGTTCGAGAATATTCGTTGAATCGCTAACAGAGAGGGCCACCGCCCACCATCGACACGAGCCGTTGGCGCCAGTGCTGGCTCGGCCATCCGAATTCATTTTTTGACAAAAGTAAATTTCAGTTGAACTGTTCAATGGGCTATTGTGGCTCGGCTAGAAAGGTCAGGCCCAGAGAAAGAGGTAGCGAGGGAAATCCATTTGAAACGGGCCGAAAAGCCCATGACGATAATTCTATACCTATAAGTCGGTTTCTTCCCTTTTCTGTCACAGGTTACGGCAGGGCAGGCGTCTGCACCCAAGTTCCATCAGACCTTCTCCCGGAAATTTTACTGATCAAGCGGTGGTCACATCAATTTTCTTCAGCGCTCAGCTTCCCTCGCTTGATCCATGAAGCTGCTTGTGATCGCTGGATTCCGAGAGTCGAATAGCGTCAGCTCGAAGTTGAATCGCTTTGTCCTGCAACGGGCGAGCTCCAATTTTGCTTGCTGTGTGTTAAAAATGTCTGACCGAGTAACCCCCGTCATTCTCCGGCTCCGCCGCTCGGCAGAAGGATCCTACGGAAACCGCTGAATCTATTCCGACGACGGTATGAAGACTCTTTTCTTCGCCGAAAGCTTTCATGTACCTAGACGTTAATGGTGATTGTTCCTTTCTGGTTTTGCTTTGTCTTTCATTTGGAATTCGGAACTGCAAAAAGTTCTCTACTCGAGTACGCCGGTTACGCTTCTCTGGAACTGTTCAATTGCAGTTTAGTATTAAATTTTGTCCGAGCTTCGCGATTGATTGGTGCTCCACTTCACCTGTCATTGGATTGGAGTTGTTGAATAGTTGGGGGTGTGCCATTCAGCAGGGTAGAAATTGTTTTGCTTTTTGAATTTAGGGTTTTGCTGCCCTTTCAATAGGATTTGTAGATTACCAGGGTGTGGATTTTGTAAAAGATTATGGCTACTGTGTGGCTAGTTCGTTCCTGATGCGACTTGAAAGTGATAGGGTGCTGTTTCCTGAATGACAACTCGTTGTTGTTATATTTTTTAGCATTGTGCTATGGGATCGGTGATAATAACTGCTGATTCGTGAGAGCTTATGCCTTTCACAGGTAGCAAAGATGGTTAATGTGGAAACTTCATCTGCAGGAGGTAGAAATAAAGAGGGGGAAATTAGGGGGAAAAGGAAGAGAGACGTAGATGTGGAGGCTACATTTTCAGAGGTTGTGGCTTCTCGTGCCGAAGGTGTAGCTGAAGATGGGGAAAATAGAAAGAAAAGGAAGAGAGTCAATGATGGTATTTCTGTTGAGGCTACAACTGGAACAGATGGAAACAAGGTATGGAGTGGAGCTGATTCTTTGAAAAAAATTGAGACCGAGAAGTCTGACTCTTCAAATGAAAGGAAGAAGAAGAAGAAGAAAAGGAAGCATAGCAGTCTTCATGAACAACCTCCAATGCAGGAAGACATGGATGAGAAGTTAGGTGATCTGGGCGTTGTTGTAGGAGATGGTAATGTGGATGGGCGAAAGGGAAGACATGAGAAGAGTGTTGAGGAGGGAATTGAGACTAAGAACTCAGAGCAGTCTATTGACAGGAAGAAGGAGAAGAAGAATAAAAAGAAGCACAGCATGGATGGACGAAAGGGTTCACATGGTAAGAGTGTTGAGGAGGGAATTGAGACTGAGAACTCGGAGAAGTCTATTGACAGGAAGAATGAGAAGAAGAAGAAGAAAATGAAGAAGCATAGCATGGATGAAGAGCCTGTATTGCAGGAAGTCCTAGTTGGAAATAATCACGCTGGTGGAAAAGCCATTAGACAAGCGAGGGATTCGCTTTATGAAACTGTGACTGAAAACTCTGAGGATCCAAATGACGGGAAGAAGGAGAAGAAGAAAAGGAAGCAAAGAATTGTACCGGAGGCCGCATCGCAGGAAACCCCAGCTGGAGATAATGAAGCTAACCCAAAGGAAGTTGATATAACTAAAACTAAAAACTCGGAGTCTTTGGAAGACAGGAAGAAGAAAAAGAAGCAAAAAGTTGAACCGGAGCCTGTCTCGCGAGAGGCTCATGTGAGAAATATTGAAGCTAACACAAAAGAAGCTGACAAAGCTACTACTAAAAACTCCGAGTCTTCTGAAAGCAGGAAGAAGAAGGAGAAGAAGAAAAAGAAGAATAAAAGCATTGATCAGGAACAGCCTGCAAGAACCAAGTCTGGGAGAAGTGGAAGTAATAGAGTTGAAAAAGATGCTTCTGACAGCTCCCCCCCAAAATCCACAACTAAGAGAGTACGTTTTTCTGAAGTAGTGCAGGTGATCCCCATTTTTGACGATGACGACTCTGTGAGAGGGAAGCCCTTCTCACCGGAGGAAGACGAGCTCATCAAAGCTGCTGTGTTGGACTATATAAATTCACATGCTTTAGGCGATGAAGGTGTCAACATGGTTATGAACTGCCGTAAGCACAAAGAAACCAAGAACTGCTGGAATGAAATAACGTCGGCTTTACCTCGGCGCCCTCGTAAGAGTGTAATTTCCCGTGCGCACATAATCTTCGAAAGGAGCGAGGAGCGCAAATGGACACCTGAGGAGTGCAATTTCGTGTTGAGTTATCATGAAAAACACGGTCCGGATTGGTCATCATGTGCCAAAGTCATGGGGAAAAACAGGATTCATGTGAAGGACGCCTTTCGAAGGCTGAATGTGAAAAATCGAAAATCCGGGCGTTGGACCCAGGACGAGTACCAGGGCCTGTTCGATCTGGTGAACACCGACCTTCGCATGAAGGTCCACGAGGAGAGGAAGTCGAAGCATGGAATGCTGAAAGATAACATCAGCTGGGCAGCGATTAGCGAGAAGCTTGGTACGCGAGTTCAGGCTCATTGTTCCAACAAGTGGTATAAGCAGCTGGCTTCGCCCATGGTTGCTGACGATAAATGGTGCGATATGGATGACTACCAGCTGGTGATGGAGCTCTACAACTTGGATGCTTGTTGCATGGAAGATGTGGACTGGGACAACCTCTTGGAGCATAGGTCGGGAGAGCTGTGTCGAAAGAGATGGAATCAAATGGTGAAACACCTCGGGGACACTCGGGATAAATCATTCGGTGAACAAGTCGATGTCCTTTCTGAGAGATACTGCTTTGATGTGCTCGAAGCTAAAGAGGCTTACTATAGCAAACCTTTAGTAGATTGAGGATATCTTTCACTGTTTAGGATCTCAGAAGTCAGAACTCAGAAGCATAAACCTGTTCCTGCCTTCCAGTTTGTAGAACAGTGTAAATACTAAATGCACCTGGTTGTGTTTATTTGTTGTTAAATTTGTTTAGCTGATTGGATTTCTGCGGTCGTGATAGGTTTGGGCCCAAAAAGAAGTACCAATTAAGGTAGTCCTACTATTTCTCTATTGGGCCCAAGCCCATTATCGTCTCTTCTACCTTCCGTCTCTCTGGAATCTGGATATTTGGGGGTTTTTTTTTTACCTTTTCAATTTCATTTCTCCAGAACGAAAAAATCGCCGGAACAAATGTATCGTCTCAGTCAGAACTCGATTCCTCCCCTTTTCTGTCAGGTCACGGCTGCACCCTAGTTCCACCAGACCTTCTCCCGGAGATTTTACTGATCAAGCGGTTGCCACATCAATCTGGTTAAGCACTCAATCTGCTGTTTCGCCCGTTAATGAATCGACGGAGTTGTAGCTATACGGGCGAATAAACTTCAGGTGAGTTAAGCTAATTCAAGGATTGTTTGTATAACTGGACTCTTTGAAATGTGATTATTGGGGAGTTGGAGGAATTAAGCGCGCGCATAGCCTTAGCCAATTGTGTTGTTGCTAATTCTCGTCTTTCTTGCGGCCAAAATGACAGAGTCTAGTATACTGTAACAGGATGATGTGAAGGCATTTGAATCAGATTTTTAGTCTTCTGTTAATTTAGCAGTTCTTATTCATAGAAGATTTTTGTTGTTGCAGGTTATCTGATGGCGCCTGAGAGGCATAGAATATTGATGGTTTCTGATTTTTTCTACCCCAACTTTGGTGGCGTGGAAAATCACATATATTATCTCTCACAATGCCTGCTAGAGCTTGGCCACAAGGTGACTGATTAATAGTTTTTCCCCCCGTTTTTCAAACCTGAAGTAGGATCTGTAAGCCTGCTGCAATTGATTTGTTTTTGAGATAGTTTATCTTGCTGTTTTTTCAGGTGGTAGTTATGACCCATGCTTATGGTAATCGCTCTGGTGTGAGATACATGACAGGAGGGCTGAAAGTTTATTACGTACCATGGCGGCCATTTGTGATGCAGAACACATTGCCTACCTTTTATGGAACCCTTCCAATCGTAAGGACTATTCTTATCCGAGAACAGATATCGTTGGTTCATGGGCACCAGGCTTTTTCAACTCTTTGCCACGAAGCTCTGATGCATGCACGTACGATGGGTTACAAAGTTGTGTTTACTGATCATTCGCTTTATGGGTTTTCGGATGTTGGAAGCATCCACATGAACAAGGTGTTGCAGTTTACTTTAGCGGATGTCACTCAAGCCATCTGTGTTTCTCACACAAGCAAGGAAAACACGGTGCTTCGGTCAGGTATTCCACCAGAAAAGGTCTATATGATCCCAAATGCTGTGGATACTGCTATGTTCAAGCCAGCAGAAGAGCGACCAGGTGGCAACGAAATTGTTATTGTTGTTATAAGTCGATTGGTTTACCGTAAGGGAGCAGATTTGCTTGTTGAAGTCATTCCGGAAGTCTGCCGGTTGTACCCCAATGTAAGTCATTTTGAGCACTCATTGCGGTTACTGGTTGATCTGATTTTCCCTTCTCAATTGGTATGCTACAACTAAGTCACTGCTCTTCAGGGTGTTAAGGTGGACAGGTCCTAAACCCTGCTATATAGCTGGTTGATAACTTTAGGCAGCAAGTGTAGTGCACACCTTTACAGCCCTTCTGTTAAGTATAGTACACAGCTTAAAAGCCTTTCTTTTAAGCTGAATGAATTAGTCTAGAGTACAATATGAACTGCATTTTCAGTGTCAAAGAAAATCTTGTATAGTGCAACTTGTGTAACAGTAGTCAGATCTTTCTTCTGTCTCCGGTATTTAAGTTCTTTCTTTTTACCTCCCCAAATTGGCTTTCTCAGGTTTGACTTCATTGACTTCATTCCATTGGCATGTAAAACCTTCTCCGGACCCTGATGCATCATTTCTCCGGACCCTGATGCATCATCAGTCTGCACTAAGTTGTCCTCATTGCATACAAGCTTCTTTCTCCCTGTATTGCCTACTCTCATTTGGGGAACCACTTTTCCAAGGTCCGTTTCATTGTTGGAGGTGATGGGCCCAAACGTGTGCGCCTTGAAGAGATGAGGGAAAAGCACTCCCTCCAAGATCGAGTTGACATGCTGGGTGCTGTTCCGCATGCTTCTGTGCGATCTGTTTTGATCACTGGTCACATATTCTTGAACAGGTACACGGGTTGCACAAACTTAGTCTTTCCAGCCTGTGTTATGTCCCAGCACTTTTATTGAGTTGAGATATAATAGAAAGGGGTTTTTCACTTTTTTCCTTCCAGTCCAAATTGGCTTATTATCAGGCTCTTTCAAGAGTTTTCACTCATTTTGGGACAGTTCTTTGACAGAAGCATTCTGCATAGCCATATTAGAAGCTGCAAGTTGTGGGTTACTGACAGTGAGCACTCGTGTTGGAGGTGTGCCAGAGGCATGTCTATAAGAAACAAACCTTTCCCTTTTCATTTCTCTGCTGAGTTGAAGTTCTTTGGGCTCAACAATCGACCCCCTGATTTCACTCTTTGTTATGGCAGGTTCTACCAGACGACATGATTGTACTTGCTGAGCCAGATCCTACCGATATGGTGCAAGCGATCAAGAAGGCAATATCTCTGCTTCCTGGAATCGATCCTCAAGCTATGCATGAACGTGTATGTAAATTAACGGGTCACACTACTTCCTTTCAAATGTTTTTCTTGCCCCGCGTTTCCATCAGGAAATTACTTATCCTTCTCTGCAGATGAAGAAACTCTATGACTGGCATGATGTTGCAAAGAGGACGGAGATAGTATATGATCGTGCACTTAAATGCCCCAATCAACCTTTGCTAGGGAGATTATCCCGGTAATGATGAGCTGGTAACCTAATCCCATATTATGCACATGAAAATTGGATTGTGTGGTTCCTAACCTTGCTGCTAACTGTTTATGCGCGTGTTCTAGGTACCTTTCTTGTGGATCGTGGGCTGGAAAACTTTTCTGCTTGGTAATGACTATTGATTTTCTGCTGTGGCACATGCTGAAGTTATGGCAGGTACTACTAAGTTACTAACTACCCTTTTCCTTTCCCACTAGAGATTAGGAATATGTAGTCCACCAGCAGTCTCACTTTTGGAACTGTGTTTCTCCCTGTAATGGCAGCCGGAAGAAGACATTGATAAGGTGCCTGATTTTGTTATCCCCACGGGAGAGACTTCCTCTGCTTTTGATCAGGAGTTGGATGATCAATCTTCTTCCTGACTATTGTGCAATATGGTGTGATGTTTTCACCCTTTACAAAGCTGTTGTTTGATGTCCATTCCGGGATTTCTGTGCGCCTCTTTCTAGTGGTAGATAGCTTCGACCTCTGATGTCCAAAGTCGAAGAGTGTAACATTGATCATGAAGAAATTAGAGAACAGAGTTCGTTTGTTCTTGTAATAGAATTAATTGCCTTGTAAGTTGTATCCCTTCTACCGTGAAATGAAGTGCATTGATTTTCAAGCCCCCCATAAAATTTTAAAGTTACAGGGGCCAACCGAGAAGATAACAAAGTTGAGGGACTTCAGTAGCAATTTATTCTTTAATTAAAGAGAGGTCCCCCACAGTCACAGACAGCCGTCAAAAAAGTTGGTTCCTTTCGAAATTCACCAGAAACCCTAGCCTGCCGGCGCGGCCAGCCGGTCCCCTTTTCCTTTTCTCGGCGATGGTTTCTGAATCAGTCTCCGTTGCGGACCCACCACCTCCTCCGCCGCCTTCCCTTCTCCCTTACTCAAGTACTTCGACTACTCCCACTACTCAACAATTCCTGCTCCCGTCCGCCGCCGCTCCGATTACCAACTACCACAACAATCACAACCAGCAGCAACAGCAGGTCCTCTCTCTAGCCAAGAAGTCCCGCTCCCGCGACCGCCACAAGAAGGTTGACGGCCGAGGCACCCGGGTCCGGCTCCCGGCCCTCTGTGCCGCCCGAATCTTCCAACTGACACGGGAGCTCGGCCACCGCACCAATGGTCAGACGGTCGAGTGGCTCCTCCATCACGTCCCTCATTCTCACTTCCCCACTCCTTCCTCCGCCTCTGATCAAAGCTCCGGTTCGATACCTTCGGAAGCGAACGGCCTAGGTGGTGACGTCGGAGGAGGACGGGATGCGTACGGGTCGCCGTCTTCTGCTGCTAGGGCGAAGATAAGACCCAGGAAAAAGCGGGTTGTCCCTTCTTTGAATCCTCCGGCGAGTTGTGAGATTGATTTCGGCTCTGCTCCTTCCCCTTCTCCTCTGCCCAGTGCTCTGCCGCTGTCGACTGTTCTGCCAGGATCCAGCTCCACGATTATGCCGCCGGTTGCCGCTGCAGCTGCCGTAGTTCCGCAGCCGCAGCCGCCGATGAAGAAAGAAGAGCCGTGGCCGTGTGAATTTGAGCTGTTTCCGCCGAATTTATCCTTTACTTCGTTGTTGATGCAGTGGGGAAAGGACTAGCAGGCGCGCGGGCTGCTATTGCTTTGGTTTAGTCATTAGTGTACAGCTTGGCCGCCTTCTTTTGCCTACCACCTGTTCGATGTTTTGCCTGTTTGAACGGAAGGTTATTAACATAGGAATTTTCTGGGGTTCATGTAAAGATCCCAGCTTTCCTCTTTCGCGTCTCTGCATTGTTTAACTCAGCCAGCCCTGTTGTACTGTACGGATCAGTTGAATGAAATAATTGAGATATTAGAGGATATTCTTAATTCTTATTGTCTATGGCTCTATGCCTCTGCTTGTCCCTTTGCTGTTATTCTATTTGGCTTGAATTGGCAATCTTGAAAGGAATTCCATGGTGAGTAACTAATAGCTGTATCTGCTCTGCAACCTGGTCAAGCTGCGAAATCTCATGGCAGTATGGTTTTCAGTGATGAGAAGATTGGCAGCCTATTGAAGATAATTAAGAGAATCCATAGGATGATTTTTGAGTTGGAAGGAAAATCTTAGTCTCTAGTAGATCTCTTCATTAACAACCATACATCTCACCAGTAATCTCCACACGAACACACTCCGTCCACGAAGTGATGAAATCGAACTCTATCCCTCACAACTATGCTTCTATTGAATGCCTTGGATACAAACTTTGTAAACGAATGACAATCTTTACAAACCCTCAGGTTTTTAACTATGCGCAGGCTTGTACCTTCGGGAGTTCTTGCCAATCCGTAAGCAATCGCTAGCTTCTCGCTGTGGCATGAACTCGGAGTCTCTGAACACCCTCCTTCAGACCAAGATCCGGGAAGGTTCAGTATTACAGGCTCCTCCTTCACATACCCAGCCGACGTAGCTCGTTTCGTAACTTCCTCAAGTTTCTCATAGACTTGCATGCTATCAGGATGTAACTTGTCATCAACGACAAACTTGTGAACTTGGTTAGAGATCTCGATCCAGCTCCAACCAGGAGTGGTCTTCACCCCAAGGGTTTTGATCAGTTTCCTCATTTTGGCGAACCCAGAGAGGTAGTTTGCTCCAGCATAAATGGTTGAAAGCAAGACACAATCCCCTGCAGTTACTGCCCCGAGTCTCATCAAATTCCTCAACGCTTTCTCTCCACTGGCCACATTCTTATGGATTTTACTGGAGCCCAGTAGGATTCGCCACAGGACTGGATCGTCCCGTGATGGGGAAGTTTCTATAGTCTCCAGTGCCTTATCAAGGTTACCAGCTCGGCCATATAAATCCACCAAGCAGCCATAATGTTTGATACCTGGTGTGAGATTGAATTTAGAGCTCATTTGGTGGAAGTAATCAACACCTTCTCGTACTAAACCTTGGTGGCTACAGCCGCACAGCAAGCCCAGGAAAGTGATCGAATTAGGGCGCATTCCAGCTGCCAACATCTGCTCAAAGAAAGAGATGGCATCATTACCAAGTCCATGGACTCCAAACCCATGAATCATGGAGTTCCAGGTAAAGACATCCCTCCTTCTCCTTCTAATCCCTGTGAAGATAGAAAGGGCATCATCCAAGCTACCACATTTGGCATACATATCAATCAGAGCGTTCCCCACAAACACGTTTCTAACCAACCCTGTATCACAAGCAATCCTGTGCAACTGAACTCCCAATCCTAGAGCCCCTACATGAGCGCAAGAAGAAAGCAACCCAACGATCGAGAACGCATCAAGACCCACATTCTCATTCCTCATTCTTTCATACATCTCCATCGCCTCTTCATGGCGGCCCGCCTGTGAGTAGCACGAGATCATTGCGTTCCAGGCAACCAAGTCTCTCTCAGGCATTTTATCAAACAGAAAGCGCGCATCTTCTAAACTCCCATTCTTTGCGTAACATCTAGTCAGAGCAGTGCAGACCACAGTATCACGTCCGTACCCAGTTGTGATAATGGACCCATGAATCTCCCTGCACTTGGGTAGAGCCTTGAGTTTCTCCACCGCCTTGAGAGCGAAGGTGAAGGTGAAAGTGTCGGGGCGAGCTAGAAGAGAGTCAGAGAGCAGGCGGTTGTAGTAAGCGAGAGCTAAAAGAGGGGAATGGCTCTGGGAAAAGCCTCTTACGATGGAATTCCAAGCCTGAGTAGGCGGGTCGGGCATTTTATCGAATAGGAGTTGTGCGTGAGCCAAGGAGCCCGAGACGGAGACGGCGCAGAATCTGAGAAGCTGGGTAGAAATGGAGGGATCGCAGTGGAGGCCACAGACGATCACTTGCGCCTGGATTTTGCGTAGCCTCGTGAAGCTGTTGCATCCCTGCAACACTTTGAGAATCGCTTTGGCTTTTGCACCGTCGAGCATTCGATGAACTCAGGTGTGACTTTGGGGCGGGCCGGCGAGGCGAGCATTCAATAAAAACATACAATGAAGATCAGAACTTACCCAAGTTGGATGACTAATATGACACATAAGGGTAAAGTTAGTGACCAAATTGATGATTAACCATCCCAAAGTTCAATTCCAGAACCCTGACCTGGCTGGTTATAAACTAGTTTTACAATCGGCAATTCCAGGACTGCAGATCCCTAATTTCCAATTCCCGCCTCAATTTCTCTCTTCGTCCGAACATGGAGATGGCTAGGGCTGAACAGTGGGAGGTCCGAAACCCGACGGGAATTGATGTCGATAGGCTGAGCTCTTTACCAGACGAGATTCTTTCCGACATCCTCTCTTTGCTGTCAACCAAGGTCGCCGTGCGCACCACTGTTCTCAGCCGACGGTGGAAGCCCCTCTGGACTAGGGTTTCCAATCTCGATCTCGACAATTCCCCCTTCAGTTACTTTCGTGACCCGTCGTTGGCTCAATTGCGGTCATATTGGGAGAGCAAAGATTCCGAACGATGTCCAGAGATCCAAGAGAGGAAAGAGTTGGAATTCTGCCGCTTCGTCGACAAGGTTCTGAGCGAGCACAAGAATCTCGATTCTCTGAGGCGTTTCCGATTACATATCTGGGAATTTTACCTTAAGGTGCAGCCAAATTTCTGGTTGAAGTTGGAATTGGGGCCTGGCTCTCTGCTTCAGGAAATTGATGTCAATCTTCAGGAGAGCGATCCTAGAACCCACTTTCCTATGCGTCGGCTCCCAGAGATTTTTTTCACTTTGCAGCATTTAAGAGTTCTGAAGCTTGCCGGCGTTATAATGGTAATTGGGTCGTCAGTGTTTCTTCCTAATGTGAAGATCTTGCAGCTTTTAAGAGTGAAAATAGTGGACGGTGAGTCATTTGGCAGGCTCATTTCGGGTTGCCCTGCTCTGGAGACTGCTCATCTGCAGTCTGGTTGATGGGGGATTGACAAGCATCTTTACCAGGATGATATCTACAAACTCGTTGCTTCATCACCATGCTTGAAGAACTTAACGATTATGTTTTTCGACAGCTGTAAGCTTTTGGAAATTGAAGCACCGAATCTTGAGCATCTACGTCTCGAGCATTTTTCTCCAGGGTTGCTATTTCTGGGCAGTAGTAAACCGCCATGCCTTCAGTCAGTAAGTCTTGCTTATGGCTACGAAATGAGCGAGGTCTGGGATGATTGCCTGTCTGGGTTCCTCTCCCAAATCTCCAATGCAAAGGAAATGAGCTTATCTTGGCTGTGGATTGTAATGTTACCCTTTTCCTACCTCCCTTCCTCAACTCCCAATCTAATTTTTGTCATTGATATAATCTGGTTGATGAAAGCTGCTATGTTTTCAGGCTGTTATCGAATTTCGCGAAGATTTCCAGCTGCCAGTCTTTCCCAATTTGACGCATTTGAAAATCGACACTGATCCAATCAGTTGCATTCTGCTCCTGTTTCTCAACTCGACCTCCAGTTTACAATCTCTTGTCGTTAGGATCGTGAGTATTCATTATGTTTACCTGTTACTCTTTCACCCACCGAAGGTATTTTTTGTTGTAACAACGAACTTCTTCCAATGGTCAGGTACGGGATATAGATTTGGATGAAGAGCGAGATGAAGCGTCAATTGTATGGGTGTCAGACCTTGCCTACAGTACACCTGAGCGCCCGTTGTCAAGCCTCGAGGAAATCGAGATCACGGAATACAAAGGAGGTGTACATGAATTCGAAATGTTGGCATATTTGCTCGAGATTGGAGTTGCACTGAAGAAGTTTACTGTGAGCGTAGTTAATCATGATCTGGAGATCGAAGAGTTTGCACGACAGCTAAAACTACTGCAACGAGGATCTAGTGCTTGTGAATTTCTTATTTTACGTCAGGAAAATTATCGTCCATTATGATAGTGATTGAAGGTTTTGTCATTAATAATCACAACTGCAGAATGACGCGATGTCTTCTCGAAGGGCTAGAATAATGTAGCTAGAAGAGCGTTGGTGAGTGAGACTGTGCCTAGTCGTTTGATCCATGGACAATTCGAAGTAGTGATATCTGCAAATAAATAACCTTTGTGGACACCTTCTATCTAATTCCACTTCTTATATCAAACAATTGTCTGTGCTAAAATTTCTTGCAAGAGCTTACCACTGCAAAATTTTGACATGCACGATAAAACCTTTTTTTTTTTATAATTGGCTTATATATTATTAATAATCAAACTATAGATGTTACAAAGCCATCTTGTAAAAGTTGAGGTACTAAAAAGATAGGAGGCCGAGATAGCCAGGCTTTCGTCTCCTTCCATCGACATTTCGTTCTCACCATCACATGAGCTCCCTCGTTTCCCTTTCTTCCCCAAAATCTCCCGTCAATTCCTCCTCTTCTTTTTGTCCAGTCGCGGATTTCTTCACAGATGCTTTGGATTTCCAGACACGTAATTTCCGGGCGATCAAGCTTCTGGATCAAAGATTGACAGTCGCTCTCCATCAGCATCGGGTGGAAATGATTCGCCATTGCCAGCTTCATACCCCACAACTTCGCCTGCGCTTCAGCCATCTCAGGTGACCAATTCGTTCGGGTCCGATGAGCTGCCGCCATGTGGAAATGCCCCCTTTCATAGTTTCATCCCTAATCACCAGTAGCCGGCTACCCCCTAATCACCAGTGGCACACAATGGTGAAAACTGAAAACTAATGGTGCTAAAACGGAGATAAGATAAACAAGTAGTAGTGACACTATAGAGTGGAGTTTTGTACTTACAAGAGTTGGGTGATCAATACGACACATATAAATAAGTTTGATGACCAAATTGATGATAAAACTCTCGCGACGAATAGCAATGCCCTTTCTTTTCTGAGTTCCTGGTTAGTCCGTGGATGGAGATGCCGATGGCGAGGGCAGATCAACGGGAAGCGCGAAAGCTTCGGGCGGGAATCGGCGATGACAGGTTGAGCTCTTTACCGGACGAGATCCTCTCCCATATCCTCTCGCTCCTGCCAACCAAGTACGCCATGGGCACCGCTGTCCTCAGCCGACGGTGGAAGGATCTCTGGACTAGGGTTTCCAGTCTCGATCTCGACCTTAGCAGCGAGGTTCCCCGATCGAAGGCATTTGACTTCTGCGGCTTCGTCGGGAGGGTTCTGAAGAAGCACAGGAATCTCAATGCTCTCAGGCGTTTCCGCTTACATTTTCTGCAAAGGCACCTTGACTCGACTGTGTGGCCGAATTTCTGGTTGAAGATGGAATTGGGGCCCGGCTCTCCGCTTGAGGTAATCGACGTTAAATTTGAGCCGAATGTTGCAATGGTAACTCACTGTGCAATGCGATGGCTTCCTGAGAGTTTCTACACTTTGAAGCATCTTCAAGTTTTGAAGGTTGAGCACGTTGTACTAGGGACTGCTGCACAAGGGTCTGTTCTCCTTCCTAGTTTGAAGGTCTTGCAGCTTTTGGGAGTAGTGGTTTTGGGAAGTGACTCGTTAAGCAGGCTCATTTCTGGATGCCCTGTTCTGGAGACTGCTCATCTGGAAAATATCAACAGTGGGGAAGATATGGTCACTGCTTCTTTGATATGCTTGAAGAAGCTAACGATTATCTCTTGTACGAAGTTTCCCATTGTTGTTGAAGCACAGAGTCTTGAGCATCTCCATCTCCAATATTTTTGTGGGGAGTTGCAATTTCTTGGCTGTAGTAAATTTCCGTGCCTTGATTCAGCAAGTGTTGATATGGTTGGGAGCGGCATTTCTGATCATGCTCTGATTGAGTTCCTGACCCAAATCTCCAATGCAAAGGAAATGAGCTTATCTTGGCACTCTATAGTAAGAAAGTTTTTACATTTTCCTTTTCTCGCTCATTTACCAATCTTTTCTTTCATCGTTGATTTTCTTACTGACGATAGTTGTTGTGTTTCAGATGCCTCTGTCAATTCTCAATGATCTCCAGCTGCCTGTCTTCTCCAATTTGACGCATTTGACAATCGAAACTGTTGGCAGCAGCTGCATTTTGCATTCTTTGCTCAGCTCAGCCTCCATACTACGATCTCTTGTCATTCGCTTGGTGAGTATTCAATATGTTTACCCTGCCCCCTATCAAGGTTTTTGCTTTAACTAGAAACCCCTTCCATATTTAGATCATAATGAATGTACATGAAGGATTTGGCTTGTGATGGATCAGGTAGAGGATGAGGTATCGGTAAAGTGGGAGTCGGAACCTGCCTGCACCAGTTGCTTGCTGTCAAGCCTCGAGGAAATTGAGATCATGAATTTTGAAGGAAGTCTACATGAGATGGGAATGGTGGCATACTTGCTGAAGGTTGGAGCTGTATTGAAGAAGGCGAGTGTGCACGTAAAGAGGACTGTGAATGTGGAACGTAGACTGCTTGCATCACTTCTAAAACTACCGAAAGGATCAAGCACTTGTAGAATTCGTGTCTTGCATCTCAACAAAGAGATCCAATACAATGATATCCACGACGAGGCTGATGGTGGCTATATGTACGATGATGACAACTCTGACAACAATAATGATGATGGGGACAATGATGACGAGATGTGCAGTCTCAGCTTGATTTCCTTTTTGTATGGCGATGATGATAACGATGAGGTCGACTTGCAGCACAATTTTGGATAAGTGGTTCCTTTGGGAGTAGGATTCTGGTTTGGATGCAGATGATATCAAGACGGTCACTTCATGTTGAGGGATTAAAATATTATGTTTTTATGTTCTGAGCAAAGATTCTGGTTCGGATGCTGATGATATTGAGACTATCGGTTGCTGTTGAGAGAACCGGAATACGATATAGTTGTGTTTCATGAGAACCTTGATATTTATGACGTAACAAGAGCATTCGTGAGACAGTGACCAGTTGGGTGATCCATGAACATGTTGAGGTAGTATTGTTTGAAGATATTAAGGAGTAATTTGAAGCTAGTGATGTTAAATGAGGAATTCTGTGAATTAGTTTATTCCTTTGAACCATCAATTTTTGTTATTTAGTTTCACCCAATATATGCATTTATGTTTGGTTTTTGTGATATTGAATTAGTTACAACCCCTCATTTCAAATCTCAACAAAAAACCAATATGGCTGAGCTATTCTGATATCGAACTTTAAATTTAGAGATCCTTATTTCAGCATCTGTAACACTCAGTATTTGCTCAAGGTTGAGTTTAAAGAGCTTGCACTGCTGCTGCATCCGCTACCACGAGGATTGAGTGCTTGTGAAGTTCTTATTTTGTGTGAAAATGACTACTATTCATGAACAATTGGCGGTAATGATATTTGAACTAGCATTCACGACCTCTATGTACGTCTACCTGAACCGACGTATTATAGCAAACACTTGGCCAAGGATTTCCGACAATAGTATGCACAACTAAAAATTTGACATTCATAGTAGAATGGAGAGCATAAAGGCGAAACATTGTGGCAAAAACAACGATTAGAAGGCCTACAAAATGGGAGCACGAAGAGACTACACAACATAACACTAACATGTCGCAATGGTAAGTTCCACAACTCTGCATCTAGTCGAATATTTCATTAAAGCTTTGGATACTATAGCGGAATACAAAAACATAGCATTGGCGAGAATGAGATCTCTTTGCCTCCTGAAGGCGTGAAAAAATTGCACTAATGTCAGGTCATGTGCAGAATGTCTATTGGTGTTCATCAGATGGCTCCAAGTTCTTGTTTCGGAACATCCGCCACTTCTTCTTCCTCCTGGTCCCGTATGCAGGGATGTCTGCAACAGGGAGCAACAAGTAACTTGCAGGGATGTCTGTCTGGTCTCATCTTCCATTGAATGAATACTAAAAGTGGTATGTTTTTCTTTCAATTGTTAAAGAGAACACTAATACCGTGAGGAAATATTGAGTTGTAGTGCACCTCCGCCCAGAAGCTCAGTAGAATCACTGCACACACCAAATCATCCATTACCATATCAGAATACCCATAGAGCCTGCGAGGTCGAGACAGTATCATTGAAGATCAAGTGATGCAACAAAAGATGATTTGCTGCGTTGAAGATTGTGATACTGCAACTCTGTCCATACAATAGTAAATCGCTAACATACCTCGTTCTGATCTTTGAAAATTCGGAAGAATCTCAATGTAGCAGGTGTCCTTGAAGGATGTAATGACAACTATCTTAACACCGTACTACAACAATTACCAACAACACACAGAAAAACCCCACAACTTGAGTGACTTGAAAAATCAGCAGCTTTCTGTTAGTTGTAAGAATACAGAGATCCTCGTGAAGCATACCGAGTCTGCAGCAGCTTGTAAAGTGACATGATCGCCCCATTCACCACTCCTATTTCCATCCGCATTATGGTAAAAAAATCAAGGTCAAGTTTTGACCCACATGAAAATGATCCAGTGAAGAAAAGGATAAGAGATTTATACTTGGACATCTTCTCCAAATAGTCATCGTAAGCCATAGGAACATATCCCTCATAGCTCTCCGGAGAAGACTTCAGCTGAAACTCATTGCACCACAAAGAACATAAGAACTGTATAGCACTGCAAAGAGGAATCAAACATATCTATCGTTGAAACAGAGAGACTAATAGTGTAACCAGAAATGGCTTACCTGCTTTACAACTTGTTGTCTCACGAATTCATGGTGCTCAGTAGTCCTATAAAATTGATCTGACAGAGCCCGAAACTGACAATTTCCATCTCCTTGCACTTTACGCTCAACTAAATCATACACCTGCAACCTGATAAAAAAAAAAAACATATTCATGCCCCCAATCAGTTTTGAAAACTAGAGAGTTACAGAAATACTACACCGATTGCAAAACAGCTAAGCAAACAAAAACAGGGTAGAAAGTTTATGGTCCATTGAAATATAGAGAGAGTACCTGTCTAATAGCCTTTGGTGATCTAACGTTGCCTCATCAACTGATGGTATTTCTCCGTTGATCCTAGGAACATGCTGCACAAAGCAGGGACCAAAACTCAAAATGCAGAACTTACTATTCCAGATTGACGAACGACAGAGCCAAAAAGATCAGAAACCAGTAGGAAATCATTACAATCTTTGCAACTCTATAATGGCTCCAAGAAATTCATGAACGTCTACATCTTTGTGATGTAACTTTAACTCTTTTTAAGTGTAAAATCCGATATTCGGAGCAAGAGAAACGAGGGTCTTAGCAGTAAGGGCAAAGCGTCAATGTAAGAAAAGGTAGTCTGAAACAAGCAAGAAACTTCGGATACACGACAAAAAACGTCGGAACCAGACCATCTAAGTTAGACATTCGTCTCAAAGAAAGTGCTTCTGTCAGCTGCTGCATGATTCAAAACACGAACTCACAGAAAACTTCAAGTGAATACGATCCACCAATGTCACACAAAGCTCAGCAACTTACAGGAATTGGGACCATTTCGTTCAACCATTTCCCCACTTCACCATCAAAAGCATACACATCCGTCATGTCCCCCGAGTAAGACCAATCCTCCACAGAGTAAATGTTCTCCTGAGGGCTAGAGCACGAACTAGAAGGTTCCATACTCTCTGCCTCTTCTTGACCACCCTCCTGGCCTACACATTATATAAAGCCATTACAGCAAAGCCCAATGGATTGAAACCACAAAAGAAATGATTTTTCTTTTCATTTTTCCCCCCCTGATAAATGATCCTAACATGTACCAGTATATTCAACCAAGGGTTGAGCAAACCAATTAGGTGGTAGATCAGAGACTTGTGAGTCTCCTCCGTCCTCTTCCTCTTCGTTTGGGGACTCAGCAGGTGGTTCAGCAACCGAAAGTTGAGATAACTCTTCCTGAAGAGCATGAGCAATAAGCTCATCCCTCTCCTCATTGCAACGCTCAGCATCATAATACCCTCCCTTGAAATACCTCCCGTCGTAGTAATCCAAATCTCTCTGCAATGGGGTTTGGCAGTACCCATAATTAGAGTATGGATCGCTCTCAAACAGCTGCAAACCCCACCGTACAACATCATCCTCCTCGTATGTAATCATCCCCGCTCTACAATAGAACAAACTCCAATCCCCTCCACAACCAAAAACCCAATATACAACGGAAATCAACAGATGCAACCCAGTTCCTGTCTCATCTGGATGCTAACTGAGACAGCTTCTTCCTGGGCAAAGGAAAAAAAAAAAGGAACAAGCTTTCAGTTGCTGCAAATCAAAGAAGAAAAGGGATGGCATTGAAAGCGTGGTATCTAGATATAGAAAGGCAGAGAACACAGATCTAGCCATTGTACAAGCTACACATTGTCACCATTCTCCCATCAGTCGCTCAATCAAGCAGTTACAGCCAATCAAGGGCGGCTTTTCCCCATCTTTCCCTCAATAAAAAAAGGAATCTAGCAGCGGAAAAGAAGGGGGGAAAAAAGAAAGCATACCCAATAAAGAAGGGTAACCGAAGCATGCAAACGCCAATTACACTTTGCTGCTAGTGAAATCTTAATCTTAGCTTCGTCGCTCCCTCCTCCGGCATTTTCTTTCTTTCTCCAGCGACCAGCCGGCCGTACAATTGGGGAAATAACTCCGCGAGCAATCACGCCATTAAAGAAAATGAAAGAAAGGACAAAGGAAAAGGCTGAAAAGAGGGTGGTGGCACTCGCAGCAGGGAGCAGCAGCACGGCGAAAAGGAATCTCTCCTCGTTCTCTCTCTCTCTCTCCCTCCCTCGCACACACTTTCGGCTCTTCACTCACTCACTCACTCAGTTACTCAGTGACTCACTGGTAAAAGGTGGGAAATTGGAAAGTGACATCTTTCTCCTCTCTTCATCGTCTTCTCTGCGATCCTTTATTTTTTTTTTACTTTTTGACCATGAATGAAATCACCGCGGGGACATCGACAGTCATGATTCAGCGAGAGAGGAAAGTGACTGGAGTTGTGTAATAAACTATTTGATTTAATATTTCAATGGGGAATATTGGGGAAATAAAATAAGGTGAGAAAGAATGAATTGATTGGGGCTGCTGGAGACTCAGGAGATGCCAAGGAAACGGGCGGGGACGGAGTCGAGACGCCACAGATTGGACAAGGGCTGAGGAAGATGCGGGGGAGAAGAGACGGACGGAGACGGCGTCATGAGTGTGCTGTTTTTCTTTGTTTTTTTTCTTCTTTATTTCAGCTAGGAAAGGGCTTTTTTTTGTCATTAGATCCAAACATACCGTCCGAAGTCCAATATGCAATCGGCCCATTATCGGCCCAAATCACTATCGGACCAAAGAAAAGGGGGAAAAAAGGGAGAAACTGAGAAAGGCAAGGAAATGAAGGAGAAAATGTATTGACGCCGGTCTAACGGTCTCCTCCTACTACTCCGCCAAGCCAACAGTTTGCTCCCCCGCCATTTCTTCCTCCCTCCAAAAAAATCCTTCTCCCTCCATTTCTCCCATCCTTCTTTTCCAAAACTCTCTCTCTCTCTTCCTGTTCTTCCGTAAAAAAAAAAAAGCAGACGGAAAAAAAAAAGTCCATTCCTGTTGTTCTTCGAATTCGTTTCTTATGTGACCCCGTCTCCGCCGCCGCCAGCTAAAGCAAAATCCCCCCGTCCGGGCGACCACCACCGCCGCGCCAGCCGAGATATGAGCAGAGAGAAGGTCAATGTGCATCGTCGTTCTCCTCCTCTCTCTGCGTTGTCCTCCTCCTCTTCGCCGCCGTCTTTGAGTTCGCCACCGTCGTTGTTTCCGCCGCTGGCGAAGCTCCTCCTGCTGTTTCTGTTGTTATCGTTTTCGCCACCGGTTTCCTGCCAAGACGACGATGGAGACATCCCCAAAAATCTACAGTCCGGCGGCGGCGGCAACAATCAAGTCGCCGAGCAGCTCGTGTCGCAGGCTATTTACAACAGTTTCGCCAATTTCACCGGCATCTTCAAGCAGGACATCAAGAAGCACTTCGGTTTCTGCATTACCGATGTGTATGTTAACATTTTTTTTCTCAAATCGATTTCGATTTGGTTTCGTGTTTGTTCTTTTTTTAATATCCACCCGCTTAGGAGAAGAATTTTGGTTCGCGGTGAATTGCAGGGATAAAGATTGGAATGACGCTTTCAATTTCTCAAAGAACACCCAATTCATGTCCAATTGCGCCAAGAGAACCAACGGTAAGAAGAAAAACAATTATGAACTCAATGCCGATTTGTAGCATTCCTCGCTGTTTGACGAGAAACAAGCATTCACTTACTATGTTCTTCCTTCATGATACACTAGCCATATAAGTTCCTGATCTGTTGATGGCATGTTTGTGTTATGACTCTCTTTGGTGGATGGATCAGGCGACATTGGCCAGCGTATATGCACTGCAGCAGAGATAAAGTTCTACTTCAATAGTTTCTTCAGCAAGGGTTCAAAGAAATCTAATTATTTGCATCCAAACAAGAACTGCAACCTGAGCTCGTGGGTGTCTGGGTGCGAGCCAGGGTGGGCTTGTAGCGCGGGCAAGGGAGTCAAGGTCGACATGAAAAACTCCAAAGACATGCCTACCAGAGTTGTCGATTGTCAGAGTTGTTGTGAGGGGTTCTTCTGCCCGCACGGTCTCACTTGCATGATACGTAAGTGCGAATGGTAAAGTAGCTATCATCAGTGCAATGACACAGCACTAAACTTGTTGCTATAACTTCACATTGCAAGTTTGATCAGTTAAACATATATGTATTATACTTCCCAGGAGGCAGCCTTCTTAGAACATGCGGCAATGCATATGCATTTCATATCAGATTGTGAGGTGTCAGATTTCATTACCCTTTTAGTTTAAATATCCTTTGTTTGTTAAGGATTGGTGCTGGATCAAAAAAATTCTTCATCTGATGTTGATTCATTAGTTTGATACTGTGATGGAGAACCTTACATTACTGCTTGACGATAAAATTTGCCTGAACTGTGCTGCTTAACTGTGCAATTCGAGAGTTTCTTTCTGTTGAATGTGCGTGAATGAATTATGTCATCAAAGTTCTTGACTGAGATGCAGTTGTTGTTTTTTCCCCTTTCTTTCACCGATGTAGCTTGCCCGTTAGGTGCTTACTGCCCACTTTCAGTACTAAACAAGACTACAGGTGTATGTGACCCGTAAGTTGCAGTGCTGTCTTTTGTTTCTCAGTTCAAGCTTCTTGTGCTTTGCCATGCGTCCATAACTATTAGCAGAAAACTCTTGCAGATACCATTACCAACTCCCTGCTGGGAAGCCAAACCATACCTGTGGGGGAGCTGATCTTTGGGCTGATATCGTGAGTACTAGTGAGATATTCTGTTCGGCAGGATCATACTGTCCGTCTACCATCCAAAAACTTCCTTGCACTAGGGGGTATTGTAAATTATCCCAAACCTTCCACCACTTACTATAACATCATATTTGCAGCTTGTTCTTCTGTTCATGGTGCTGCTCAGTTAAGAATTAGACAGATAATCCCTGTCTATATGCCGATACATCACTGACATGAGCACTATGGTTCTCTTTTTTGTTATTTCAGCCATTACTGCAGGACTGGTTCCACATCACAATCAGGTGGGTTCTTTTCCTCCGTGGTATAAACCCTAAATAAATATGACCTTTGTGTTGTCGGTGCAGTTTCTGGTCTTGGGAAATTTTACCAGGGAATCAGTAGTACTGTAGTAGTGCCTTACATTTTGAAAGAAATGGTCTGTTGTGAACTTATGCTCCTTGTTGATTGTAGAATGCTGAAGCAACTTGAGGCATCTTTTGTTCAGCAAATCTTTAGGTTTACCTCTCTTGATTGGTTTTAGCAGCATACTCACTTTGCCCCTGATCTTGCAGGGTGTTTTAAGTTGGCAACATGTGTACCAAAATCAGCAAACCAAAACATTACTGCATATGGGCTCTTGATTTTTGTGAGCATTCGTTAGCTTAACTCGATCCTATATTTCTGCTTATCATAATCACAATTAATGCAGCAAATCAAGTTTTAACTCTTGATTTCTTCATGCAGGCTGGCCTAGGCTTTCTGCTGATTATAATCTATAACTGTTCCGATCAAGTCCTCTCAACTCGAGAGAAAAGACAAGCAAAAACCAGAGAGCAAGCAGTTCAAAGCGTGAGAGAAACCCAAGCTCGTGAAAAATGGAAATCAGCAAAAGAAACAGCTAAGAAGCACGCAATAGATTTCCAAACCCAGTTCTCAAGAACATTTTCTCGTGTGAAGTCCAAAAGGGAAGACACCAACCCTTCAGCAAAAGGAAAGAAAAAGGAGAAAGGAAACCTCACAAAAATGATGCAGGAAATCGAGGCCAACCCTGAGGAACATGACGGCTTCCATGTCGAGATCGGAGACAAAAACATTAAGAAACATGCACCAAAGGGTAAGCAGTTACACACTCAGAGTCAAATGTTCAGGTATGCATATGGCCAGATCGAAAGGGAAAAGGCTATGCAAGAGCAGAACAAGAACTTGACCTTCTCTGGGGTAATCTCGATGGCTAGTGACGTTGAAATCAGGAAAAGACCCACTATAGAGGTTGCTTTCAAAGATCTAACCCTCACTTTGAAGGGCAAAAACAAACATCTATTGAGATGCGTGACTGGCAAGTTATCACCTGGACGAGTCTCCGCTGTCATGGGGCCATCTGGAGCTGGCAAAACAACCTTCCTCTCTGCTTTGACTGGAAAAGCACCTGGCTGCCGTGTCACGGGCATGGTTCTTGTAAATGGTAAAGCTGAGCCGATCCAAGCTTACAAGAAAATCATTGGCTTTGTGCCTCAAGATGACATTGTGCACGGCAACTTGACTGTGGAAGAGAATCTTTGGTTCAGTGCAAGCTGCAGGCTCTCTGCTGATCTACCAAAACCAGATAAGATTCTGGTCGTTGAACGAGTCATTGAGTCCCTAGGGCTTCAGCCAGTGAGGGATTCTCTAGTCGGGACAGTGGAAAAGCGAGGAATCTCTGGAGGTCAAAGGAAACGAGTCAACGTGGGGCTGGAAATGGTGATGGAACCTTCACTTCTTATATTAGATGAGCCTACGTCTGGTTTGGACAGCTCATCTTCTCAGCTACTCCTTAGAGCTCTTAGACGTGAAGCTCTTGAAGGAGTGAACATTTGCATGGTTGTCCATCAACCAAGGTACCAGAAAGACCTTCATTTGCTCTTTGGTTCATGTTTCTTTCACATTCGTATGATAATTCTCATTTTTTTCTTTTGCTGCTTCAGCTATACGTTATTCAGGATGTTCGATGACTTGATACTTCTCGCCAAAGGCGGCTTGACAGCGTACCATGGACCAGTAAAGAAAGTTGAAGAATACTTTGCTGACATTGGAATCACTGTTCCAGATCGTGTAAACCCTCCAGATTACTTTATCGACATCTTGGAGGGTATACTTAAACCAGCCTCAGGGGTGCACTATAAGCAACTTCCAGTGAGATGGATGCTTCATAATGCCTACCCAGTTCCCATGGACATGCTTCAGAGTACCGAAGGACTTGGAGGACCCGCTGGAGAAGGTTCCAGCCATGATGGAATGCCTAGCGAAGCAGGATCTGAGACTCAGTCGTTCGCTGGAGAGTTTTGGCAGGATATGAAGTCTAACGTGGAGTTCAAGAAAGACAATATGCAGCATAATTTCTTGAGCATGGTTGACCTGTCTGGAAGAACTACGCCTGGTATCCTTCGGCAGTACAAATACTTCCTTGGCAGGTGTTTCCCTCAAACAGAAATTTTCTTGTTCATGTTTGCTCCTCTGAGAAGATTTACTGATATCATGTTGCCTTTTCGGAATCTTTGAATGCATCTTCTCAGGGTTGGTAAACAGAGATTACGAGAAGCAAGGACGCAAGCTGTAGATTATCTGATTTTATTGCTGGCTGGTATTTGTTTAGGAACATTAGCTAAAGTGAGTGATGAAACCTTTGGTGCAGTTGGCTACACGTACACCGTCATTGCAGTTTGTAAGTAAATAGATATAGTCTTCAAGTTCTCCTATGTTATACACAACTCGACTGTCCGGTCTAATCACTATAATATCTATGCCGTTTTCAGCTCTCTTGTGCAAGATTGCGGCATTGAGGTCATTTTCTTTGGATAAGTTACACTACTGGAGAGAAAGAGGTTCTGGGATGAGCAGCCTGGCATACTTTCTTTCCAAGGACACCATCGATCACTTCAACACCCTCATCAAGCCCATTGTGTATCTTTCCATGTTCTACTTCTTCAACAATCCGAGATCAAGCATCTACGACAACTACATCGTCTTGGTCTGCTTGGTTTACTGCGTCACTGGAATAGCTTACATATTGGCTATTGCCTTCGAAGCTGGTCCAGCACAACTGGTGAGAGCACTGGACTAGAATAAAACTTCTTCCCCATACTCCCTCCCCTTCCTCCTCTCGCGTCTCATCTATATCCTGTTTCATACAGTGGTCAGTACTACTTCCAGTTGTTTTAACTCTAGTTGCAACCCGGAACGATGGTGGCTTGGCTGGAAAGCTATCTGACATCTGCTATACCAAGTGGGCATTAGAAGCATTCGTTATATCAAATGCCAAAAGGTTAGTGTGTAGCTGACTCTGTACTATCTGCTCATCCTTGGTAGTGCTTTGTTAGCTTGAGTCTTGATTTGCTTACTCCTCTTTCTACTTTCAGATATAGAGGAGTGTGGCTGATAACACGATGTGGTTCGCTCTTGGAAAATGGGTATGATCTCAATCACTGGAACCGTTGCCTTATCCTTCTCGGTCTAACTGGGCTAGCTAGTCGTGTAGTTGCCTTCATCGTCTTGGTTACATGCCAAAGGAGGTGAAAAAAATCTGTGTCAGCCTGTCCTTGTACATAGAAGAACAAACACAGTGCCTGGATTCTTGATCTCGGATTAGGAAACTTGTACAGCAACTGAAACACAGATACAGAAACCAAACAAAAAGAGAAACCTCGTACAGAGAGTGGGATGACTTGCAGTTGGGGCTACCGGGAATTCATCGCTTGTGGGAGCATGCTCGTACAGAGGCCAGTCGGTGCGTTATGTGCATAGTTATATTTGCATTGCAGTCCAGCCTATGAAAATGTACTCTTAGGGTATATAGAATGCTTCAGTGGAAGCAGTTATATTTTTGACAGCATTGACATCTCTCCTGCATTCCTAAATACCGATTGGTATCATTTGTGAGTGTGCCGCAAAACAAGACAGAGATTGATTGCAGCAAAAGAGTTGTAGTTTAAGCAAATGTAGGATAAGGCAATCTTGAGGGTTTGCCTTCTGTTGCTTAAGTAGGAGTTTAAAAGTTAGTATAGTCTATAGATATGGTATATTTCATCTGGAGCTATTATTATTGTTTTCGACAGCAAATTTATTGATAAAGTAAATTCTATCATTCCGTCATTTTTATCGTTAGTTATTTATCGTTTTATGCGATAATCATAGTGAGCGACTAACTATTGTTGTTCGACGGTGAATACTCTTTGATAAAGTGAGCTCTATTGTTGTTTACGTGGCTATGCTTTAGCCTTACCCTATACAGTAGTAATTAAGTATGCAATTGGTAAAGGTAAGAATTACCTCTAGGGCTTGATTCAAACAAAGATGATTCCAGTTAAGCCAAAACAATGAAACACTTTTGAGCAGAAGGTACAACCGCCAAAAACCACCACTAAATTATAAAGTGCAGCCTACTCCAAGATAATACCAACTAAAACATTTTTTTTATTCCTTCATTTCCTTAACCAATCATCTTAACTCATCGGTTATTTTCCCTCCCCTGCCAGCAGATTTTATAAGTTTCACTGTTTCAGGGTGCTGAATTTGTAGAGTACAGCTATCAACAAATTTCATGCATCTTCAATTACCAATTCATACATACAACTCTATTAGTACGATGATATCAATAAGGAGATAATAAGATCGTGTTAGCTTATTTCGAATTCAATACGAGAACTTGCTTTGTTAAGGGATGCTTTTTATAAAACTTTGTAACATTCTCTTCATTACTTTGATCTCCCATGTAATTACTCTAGATAGACGTTACTTAGATACCTTACCCTGTAACTAACTCTCTCTCTCTCTCTCTAGCCTCTCGCTCTACATCACCACCTTCCAACGTCTTCCATCTGTGATTTTATTCTCTGTGCATGAAAGCTGCTTTCCATCCGTTGATGAAAAAACAATTCCTGAGACGCTTACCCTTTTCCTGTTTCCCTCCCAATCCCAACCAACAACCGCAACCCCTCCTTGTTACTTCCCTTTGGCTTTAAGCCAAACTCTCCCTTCTTTCTCTTTTTACTTTCTTCTTTCTCTAGCACCCAAACCCTCCAACCGCAACTATATATGCAAACTTCATTTCCACATTATGGGTAGCTAGTTATCATAATGATGAAGCTTCCAATTGTGATCCTTCTCTCTGTCTAGTGGTGTATTCAAAGAGGCAGAGGTGGTCTTGCCTAATTTGGTTCACATATGGCTAGTAATCATCATCCTCATCATCATCAGCAGCAGCAGAGTAGCATATTGCCTTCAGATTCTGTAAGTTTGAGCTTTGAAGGTAATTGGGTTTTTTGAGTTATGATGGAATCAAGGCTTCTTTTTGGTTGATCATCTTTCCCGGCTATTGTTTCATTTCATAGCTGAGGAGGCAGAAGATGACTGGGGAAGAAAAGAGAGAAGCACTTGAAAGAGAGGTAACTAGTAAGTGCATTATAGCACATGATCATATCCAAATGTTTGCATAGTCGATAAGAGTATGTAACAATACAATGTCATTGTTTTAAAGATTTGCCTATGAAATTTGCATGTAAACCACAAAAAGCTATTAAACCTTGCATCGGAACACCTGAAAACATACATATGTAACATTTACGAACGATCGGGAGATATATTATGTGCTTGAATCCATAATGTAACATTCATCGATACAAATTACGATGATGATGATGATATATACTAGCTAGCATGGCAGGATGTGACTCGGCAACATCATAGGCCTAAGTATCTTATATGCACTTGATCAATCGCCATCATCACTCATCAGCTTCTACCTAGATATATAGATTAATGTCATCATTTTGATGATGATGATGATGATGAAATTTGTTTGTCATTCTAAAAATTAAGCAAACGTGTATGACATATACCTCTAAAACAGAGGGTATATCTTTTCTTTGTTGCTTATTATGGTGGGAAAGGAGGAATGATAATGTGTAGAATCCAAGCTAAAAACCCCTCTCCTCTACCTGTCTCCCTTATTTCCCTAAACGTAATTAGTACTCAATTAAGATCTTATATAAACATATATAGCTGCTCTAAACCATACTGACCAAGAATCAAAACCATGTCTTATTGGCTGTGGCAGGTTGCTGTGCTGCAGCAAATGTTGCAGCAAGAAGAGAAGACACATGACTTTCTGGAGAAGGTTCATGATCATCACAGCAACAACAACCACATCAATGGTGATCATAATGCTTCTAATGGCAGTATCCCCATCCCCAGCTTCCTCAACCCTAAGGTCCACATTGTTTTTCCCTCTTCTCGTATCGCTCGATTCTCTGCCAGTTACAGATAACTAAAGGGAAGAAACTTGCTCACTTTTCCTAATTTAGGCAAAGGAATTGGTATCAGAGCTGGTTGCAGTGGAGAACGAGATAGGTCGACTAGAAGGCGAAATAAGCAGGCTCCAACTCAACCTGAAGCAGGAACAACAAATCACAAAGGAGTCCACAAAACCATCATCAAGACAATGGCAGCAACCTCACCATCAGCAGCACCACCACCACCATCTCCCACCTCCAACTCCAATTCATCATTTCCCTCCACACAAAACCTACAACAACAGCAACAGCAACTATAACACTCAAGACAAACTGGCATTTGACACCAAGGCACTTCACTTCATCAGCAAGGCAATCAAAGGCGACTACGCTCTCGACCACCACGACTTCCCTCTCGCTGACAAAGCGAGGGACACCACCCCTAACCGTCACCAACGATTTCGAGAAGCTCTCCTTCCCGATAGAAACGATCATCAACAACATCAGGCCAATACTCACAGGGCTGCTCCTAAGAAGAGTGGGATGTTGTTCAACATGAAGTCACCTTCCCCTATGCGCGATTTCAGGAACCCGTCCCCATGGCCTAGAGACCGAAATGTGGAGAACCAAACAACCAAAGAGGCCACCACACCCTTGCCAAAGGCACTGTCCAACTCGATCTTGGGCGAAGACAATGCTACTGGCAATGTCCAGCATTTGCAGCCTAACAAGCTGTCCGAGAACATCATGAAGTGTCTCAACTTCATTTACGTCCGTCTGCTGAGGACATCGAGGGCGATGGAGCTCGAGAAATCAGGACCGATCTCGAGGTCGTTGAATTCGTCCTTGGTATCGAGGAGCTTCAGGGCAGATACAGGGCTGCTGAACTCCAAATCGTCGAGCCTTTCCATGTACAAGGAGTCCAAACAGCAGGACCCTTATGGAATTTTCGACGTGGAAGACTCGATTCCCAGGGACATTGGTCCTTACAAGAACTTGGTCGTCTTCACTTCGAGTTCCATGGACACCAAGTGCATTTCCACCTCCAGCTCCATGCCTCTGATCAAGAAGTTAAGGTAACACAAATTAACGTCGTATCATGTTTCGACATCGAATCTATCATAGGACTGTATAATGACTCTGTCCAAAAATGCAGGGTACTGATGAACAACCTACAGAATGTGGACTTGAGGTTTCTGACCCAGCAACAGAAGCTTGCATTCTGGATCAACATGTACAATGCTTGTATCATGCATGTATTATTTCCTTGTTTTTTTATAGTTTCCTTCTACATTTTCGTTTCTGCATTTCATGTTCTTTTCAATATTCCTGATGAATCATTTGTTGTTTTCATCAATTTCAGGGATTTCTTCAATTTGGAGTGCCTCATAGTCCAGAGAAATTGTTGTCATTGATGAACCGGGTAATGCTCTAAACTTAACTCTTCAATTTCTCCGATGAGAGAGCTTTCTGATGAAAGTTCCATTATTGATAGACAGATGTTAGATCAAAAGGGTATTTGAATCTATCGGCTCTTAATTGATGCTCTATCAAAAACCTTGAATCGAACTATGAGCGATTCGGTTTAATTCAATCCAAATATTGATTCGTTCGACCGTGCAATTTGATTACAAATGCAGGCAACGGTAAACATTGGTGGCAACACAATCAATGCTCAGGCGATAGAGCATTACATTCTCAGAAAACCAGCCACATCTTCCAACAACAAGGTAAAACAGTCCTCCATCTAACTTCTTCATATATCAATTGCCTAACCATGTCGACTCGATCGTATCGCGCTCTCGTACGTTCTCAGTCGTTGGATCAAACATTTGAAAATGAGCGGGAAGAGGCTGATCTTCCCAAAAACAAGATAAAAACAAAAACAAAAACACTGAACTATTTCAATTTCTTCGATAGAACAAGGACGAAAGCAAGGAATCCGCCGTCCGGAAACTGTACGGCCTGGAAACGACGGACCCAAACGTCACGTTCGCCCTCTGCTGCGGCACCCGATCGTCCCCTGCGGTGAAGGTGTACACGGCGGAGGGAGTGACGGCGGAGCTGGAGAGGGCGAAGCTGGAGTACCTGCAGGCTTCCATGGTGGTGAGCGGCACGAAGAGGATATCGATCCCGGAGCTTCTGGTGCGGAACCTGGCCGACTTCGCCATGGATACGGACACGCTGGTGGAGTGGGTGTGCCACCAGCTCCCGACTTCCGGGTCGCTGAGGAAGTCGATCGTCGACTGCTTTCGCGGCCAGAACAGCGGGAAGCTCCCCGCGGTCGCCGTCGACAAGATACCTTACGATTCGCAGTTCCAGTATCTCCTGGCCGTATGACAGCTTTTTGCGATATCATCACGTTCAGTTTGAGGAATCCGGAAGAAGGGAGAAAAGGTTCGTCCTGGATATAATTTTTACGGGATGATTTTGTTTTGCTTGTTTACTTTGCGAGTCAAGATTTGGTTGTAAGATTGGCCCCGATTTGATTGAACGGTGGTTGTGTCGGAATTTGAACTGAGAGATCATGATCTCAAGACCAGTAATGTCGAACCCTTCCTGCTCTTTTTTGCTCACCCTGTTGAAACATCCATTGTGTGTACAGGACATTTTAATAATATCCGGTTTTGGGGATTTGTATGTAAAATACTAATAAATTCAGAATCATCACATAAATTTCATCTTCATTTCAGTTAGAACTTTGCTTAGTGACGTGGGTGGAACTTTAAGTAAAAATTACTTGAAGTAATTGATCGAATGAATATATGGGTGTCCATTCGGGTTCGGTTTTTCGGGTTTACCCGAAACCGACCCGATTGTGTATATTTTTGGTTTTTTGGGTTCGGGTTCGGGTTCGTTTCGGGTTTCGGGTTTTTCGGTTTCGGGTTCGGTTTTGCTTATCGGTTTTTCGGGTTCCAGCTAAAAACCTCCAATGAATAGAACTCAACCCGTATTTTTGAACTTTCGGGTCTTCGGGTTTCGGTTTTGCTTTACCCGAACCCGATAAGGAATTTTCGGGTTTCGGGTAACCGAAACCCGCAAGTCCTTATCAGGTTCGGGTTCGGTTTTAATGATTTTCGGTTTCGGGTAACCGAAACCCGCAAGTCCTTTTCGGGTTCGGTTTTAATGATTTTCGGTTTCGGGTTTTCGGGTTTTTCGGGTTTCAGTTTGGGTAACCGAACCCGACCCGAACCGACACCCCTAAATGAATATGGATCGTAGATCAACAAAAGGGCAGATTCTAGGTTAATAAGAAGGGGGGAAAAGATCATTCAATTACTACATTCACAGGATTAATCGTTTGATGCTGTGATCGACATTTATCAATAATATAAAAATATTTTTACCATTTTTTTGTTATTGTGGACATCTTCAATCGAAATCGAAAAATTTAGATGCCAACAAGGTCAATCTACAAAAAGAATGCCAGGTGTTTTAACTCAAAGTAACTCATACCTAGAGTTTAACCCAAATCACCGTTAGCATATCGGTCATGGTATATTTAATTAAAAAAGATACCCATTAACTAATGATTTTTTTATTGGTGCAATGAACTAGTACAGCAATTAGCCAATTTGTTTATGCTGATTCCCTCCAAACCCCACATTATCATGCGAATGAATGTGTCCAACCTAGACAGAAAATTAGTAATAATATATGCACTCCCATCATTATCAATTAAATTAGTCGAAGCAAACAAGAATAGAATTCGCCGCCAACCCAATAATAAAAAAAAGAATTATATACCTCTTCCTAATGTTGGGCTTTACCCTTTGTCGGCCCAGCCCATCTCAATTAGTCGGCGGCGCCTCACCGGGGTGCCAATGAAACAGAAATTTGGTCAGTAGGCATGTTCATACTCTCGCTCCATTTCACCGAGTCAATATACAATCTGGATATCTTCCCCGCCACGCGTCCCATATCCGGCCGCTTATCTGCTTCCACGTGTACGCACTCCAGCGCTATCCGTACTAGCCTCTCCGCCACCTCCACCGGGAAAGAATCCCTCAGCCTCCCATCCATCCACTTCCTCACCCTCCCCTCCCTTCCCCCTCCTCCTCCTCCGCCGTCATCGCCGCCGTCGCCCAAAGCGGCTCTCGTCGCCGTCTCGATCAGCGTCGTCCGTATGTAACTGCCTTTCGCCTTGTCGTACCTGTACTTCATCGGCTCCTCCCCGGACAAGAGCTCCAGAATCACCACGCCGAAAGCGTACACGTCCGATTTCTGCGTCGCGACCCCCGTGGCTTGGAATTCCGGCGACATGTAGCCCCGCACGCCTTGGAATTGCATCTCTCCGCTGTCGGATCTCGCCAATTCGGCCCGTCTCGGAGAGGCGGCGGCGGAGGAGGTGTCGCCTCCTCCCTCTTCTTCCTCCTCGCTCGCTCCAGCGGTTTCCCCCTTCTCTCGCAGAGTCGTGATTTTCGAACTAGGTTTCCTCCCTCCCCCGCCGTCGCCGCCTTCACCGCAGAGCTGCGCGGCCCCGAAGTGGCAGATCTTCGCGTTGAGGGAAGGATCCGTGACGATGACGCTGCTGCTGGTGAAGTGATTGTGGACGAGAGTCATGTTCAGCCCCGTCTTGTTGTGGACGTAATCGAGCGCGTGTGCGAGGTCGGTCGCGATCCGGATTCTGGAAATCCAGGTGGAGAGCACCGTGAATTCGGGATTCCTCGAGTTCCTCAGGCAATCGGCGAGGTTCGCCCCCTTGACGAACTCGTAGACGAGGTAAATGTGGTCCCCGGAGGTGGACGCGCCGAGCAGCCTGACGACGCTGGTGTGGTTGCTGCGGCAGATGACGGAGAGGAGCTCCTTCAGCTGGTCGATCTCGATCTTTCGGCGGAACTTGCGCTGGAAGACGATGGTGTCGCTGCCGCGGAGCGTGCACCGCCAGCAGGAGGAAGAAGGGGAGTAGGGCTTGGCGAGGAAGCTGTTGGTGGCGCGTCGGATCTCGGAGATGTCGTAGATGTGAGGGTTTTGGGAGAGGGAGTCGCGGAGGCTGGAGAGGGAGGTCCGGCTGGAGAGGGAGGAGGAGGAGGTGCCTCCTGTGTAATTGGCGCCGGAGGAGAAGGAAGGATCTGAGTAGTAGTAAGACGAGGAGGAGGAGGAGGAGGTGGGGCCGGTGCCGACGCCGGCGGTGAATGTCAGTCGCTGCCGGGGGGTTTGCGGAGTACGGGGAGACTGAGCGGGGCGAGATCGGGAGGTGGAGGAGGAAGAGCGAGTGCGGGAGGTGGGAGCGGCGGCGTCGACGGCCATTTTCGTTCTGCACATGCGGGGAATCTCGGTGGGGGGAAACGGCAGCGCGTGGTGGGAGAGTGGAGGGAGGGAAGGTCGGAGGTTTTGTGGTGGAGGGGTTGGGGGTTGGACCTGGTGCGGAGGTTAATGCGGGTTGGTTGAAGGGACGACGGAGAATAGAAAATGGGGCGAATATGGTTGACCGTTTTTGTGTGGTAACGCGGCTTCGGAAAGCAACCGAACCGATAAACCATTCCTTTTTTAAGAGAGAAAATTTGGAGTGCCTGGTAGGTCAAATTTGTTCTAATGATGGTGTATTAAAAAGAGGTGCGATTCGTATGGCCGTATGGGTGTGTCAGTGTGTGCGCGCATCATTCCTAAAAAAAATAATGAACAACGAAAAGGATCGCTAAGTGGAGAAGAATATATACCAAATGTTTATGGCAATATGGATTTGGTAAGAATGGGTTTGGGTTCTTATTCATTCGAGTTTCGTTTGTTTTGTCTTATGGGGTGAGCGTATCTGTGAAGGAGCGAGGTGATCCTCTAATTTATTCTCCAAAATTAGTATTGGTATGGTTGTATGGAAAATATGGAGAGCAAAGAATGGGAGAGTGTAGAGAGATAAGTGATATGTAAAAGAGTGGAAATTAGAGGTACTTTTATTTAGGAGGTCTTAAGGACTTATCTATAAGAGTTTGAAGGTGTTCTATGGGCTCGAGCACATATGTACATGATGAATGGCAGTCGTGACTTGGGTCATCATGGTCATGGTTATGCGGTCAATGTCACATTTGTTATGCGACATAATGGTGAAGGAAAATGTAACTAATTAGAAGTGTCTTTTTTTTTATTCCCAATGAAAATATATTTGTGGTTATCAAGTCAAACATATCTTAACTAATTGATCCTTCACAGTTCACACAACCATCTTCATCTCCATGTTAACACGTCAAAATTGTCCTCCATAAACTAGCATCATCCAGAGCCGACGGATTTTGTACCGTTGACATCGTCCTTGTCACTCAGCTTGACTCCTAACTGGTCAACTTCAATATAATGTCATTGATAAAAAAAAAAAAAAAAAACTCTCCCTCTTTCAAATGTAAACCTTGTCTTTGGATTGATTTAAAGGAAATTAAGCACATGCTAACATGAAGATCAGAGCTGTAAATTGAGTGAGATGACTCAGAAGAGGACAATCATGGTCATGGGTATGCTCAGCTTCTCCGTCAGCTCTACCGGCTACCATCACTATACTGTTCAAAGTCAACCTAATAGCTTTCTTGACGTTTCACTCCAATCCCAATCGAGGAATTTGGGATGCTAACAGTTTCTGTAGGGCCACTGGTCGGTGTTGAAGTTTATTAATTTTAGGTACCAACTTGTATTTTACCAAAAACCCTTTCCATTATGCTCCTGTCGTGTAACCCCATATGTATATATAGTCGTTCCTCCTCTGTAACAAGGTTAAGCCGTTTTTGAGATAGTGAAACCCTTTGGAGAGTGCCGTCTCTCCCGTGGATTAGTCCTGAGCTTCAGGGATACCACGTTAAATTCTTGGTGTTCTTTGCTTTCAGTTTAGTGTTCTTGACATGGTATCAGAGCCTCTGCTCTAAACTTTGCTGCTTTTCGTCTCTGCGGCTTTGGTTGTGTGCAATATTGGGTTCTCGTTGCTGGTTGTCTGGCGCGGGTTTGTGCGCACTAAGGGTTCCGTTCTTTGCTGTGTGTTTGGGTAGCAGGTGGTGATTCCTTGTTCACCTGTGTTTGGACGCGGCGATTGTTGGGCATTGGAGGTGATTTGTAGTTCGCCTGCTTTGCATAGGAGGGGATTCATTGTTCGTCTACTTTTTGCTCATCCCTTTTCAGCTGCTTTGTACGTGGCTTTCGGTTGCTTGTGGTCTCTTGGTTAATGGATTTGTCGAGAATGGATTCTGTCTCCGTGAAGTTTGATGGTACGAACTATGCCATTTGGGAATTTCAATTCCGGAATTTTGCGGCTGGAAAGAGGTTGCTGCCGATTTTGACCGGGGAACTTAAACCCCCTGGGGATGATGCGGGGGCTGCTGCAATTGCGGACTGGGAAGCAGGCAATGCCCAGCTGATTACATGGCTAGCTGGGTCGGTGGATTTGTCAACTGCCCTTACCCTTCGGCGATTCCGAACGGCGCATGAGATGTGGGCTCATATTGGCTCGACGTATGCGCAACATAGTGCCTCACGGCAGTTTGAGTTGGAGACTGAGATCGGCCGTCTTGCTCAGGGCGATCGGGATGTACGAAGTTATTATCAAGCATGTCTCCATTATTGGACGGAGTACGATTTATTGACTGCAAATCTGGTCCCAGATGTGGCATCGGCTGCAGTGCTCGCTGAGAGGGCCAGGACTCGGGTCCTTCAGTTCTTGGCGAAGCTTCGGTCAGAGTTTGAGCCAATCCGGGCTTCCTTGATTCATCGTGGTGTCACTCGGATTGAGGATGTGATCGGGGAGCTGCTACGTGAGGAAACACGGCTGAAGAGTCAATCACAGATTGACAACGCTATCACCCATCCTGAATCTGCCTTTGCGGTGGGTCGGCCTGCTGCTGCCTCTCGTCCTCGGTTTACTCGGCCGGATACAGTGGCGATAGTTTGTCATTTTTGTCGCGAACCTGGGCATATCCAGATACATTGCAAGAAGAAAATTTTTTGCAATTACTGCAAACGCCCTGGCCATATTGTTCTGGAGTGCCCGAATCTGGCTCGGCGGGGGAAGGCTCGGCAGCCAGCTGGTTCTTCCTCACATCGTACTGCCTATACTGTGACTCAGCCTTCCTCAGATGTTGCTCATGGGACTCCTCTTCTTTCTGATCAGATCCGCAAGTTAGTTCAGGAAGCCATGCAGGAGGCGCTCTCCTCAGCCTTTGCCACTACAGCTGCCTCGTCGGGTAAGTCGTCTCGTTGGCTCTTAGACTCTGCTGCTTTCAATCATATGACCTGTGATCGGAATAGTCTGGTTAATTTATGTCCGGTGAGTTCTATGAATCTGCAAGTGGCAAATGGCGAAACTATTTATGTTGTTGGTACGGGAACAGTTTCTGCGGGTCCGATCACTCTTCCCCACACCCTCTACGTTCCCCAGCTCCATCCTAATTTAGTCTCAGTTGGTCAACTGACTGATGATGGCTGCGATGTCATGTTTGACTCGAATGGTTGTGTTGTGCAGGACCGGACGACGGGGAGGGTGATCGGGCGGGGCAGTAAGCATGGGTGGACTTTTGTTCTTGATCGGTATTGTCAGAAGGATGATGATGGGATGCAAGGTGATGACCGTCAAGGGCAAGGACGCTGTGTTTCTGGGGATCTTCAGGGGCTGGGTAGTACTCTGAATAAGACTGATGTTGTTTGTCCGGCTTACAGTTCAGTTGTTCCTTTTGATACTTCGTTGTGGGATTTGTGGCATCGTCGTCTAGGTCACCCTCATTCGGGCAGGCTTAAGACTATGTTTAGACAAAATTTATTGCCGGATAAATTGAATGTGACTCGTTTGGATGGTTTGTCAGACTGTGTGAGTTGTGTGGAGGCTAAGACCTCCCAGATGTCGTTTTCGGATAGTGATACTGTCTATGATGATCCATTCGATTTGGTGCATACAGATCTCTGGGGGCCATCCCCGGTGACTTCTCGACTGGGTTTCAGATATTTTGCTTTATTTATTGATCATCATACTCGGTTTACTTGGGTGTATTTCCTGAAAAAGAAATCTGAACTCATTTATGTGGCTAAGGAGTTCATTCAGATGGTTCGTACACAGTTTGGAAAGACAGTTAAGATTCTGAGGTCTGATCCTGGAGGAGAATTTGTGTCAAATGATCTCCTTCTATTCTTTAAGTCGACAGGTATTCTTCCACAACAGTCTTGTCCAGGAGTTTCGCAGCAGAACGGTGTGGTTGAGCGTAAGAATCGCCATGTTTTGGAACTTACCCGGGCTATTCTATTTCATTCCCATGTCCCGACGCGCTTCTGGGTTGAGGCAGTATACTCTATTATATATTTGATCAATCGTCAGATTACGCCTTTGTTGGGACAGCGATCTCCGTTCCAGGCGTTGTACTCCAAGCTTCCGGACTACTCGTTCTTACGAGTTTTTGGCTGCACTTGTTATGTTTTGCTCCCCCGAAAGGAACGACACAAGTTAGCTCCGAAGGTGACACGGTGTGTGTTTGTCGGTTATAGTGATAAACACAAAGGGTATCTATGTTATGATCCTGTTGGTCGGCGTATGCGCATAGGGTATCATGTCAAATTTGTGGAGACAGAGATGTATTATTCAGCTACCCATGAAGAAGCTAGTTCGGCAGCCTCTTTGAAATTTCTCACTTCACTTCCAGAATTTGAGGTTCCCATTTTGGACACACAGCTGCCCACTAATCCCCACAATGAACCGCATACTCCTAGTGTGTCTCATTCGTCAAGCTCGGCCAGTTCTTCGTCCCCACCAAGTTCAACCACTGCTGCTCCTTCCTCTTCGCCCAGCTCATCCCCTGGTTCAAGTATGTCGAGTTCCCACCAGGAGGAGAGTGATAGTTCTCCCTCACCAATCCAGCCAGTCTTACCATTGCGGCGGTCCAATCGAGCTACGTTAGGACAACCTCCCTTGCGTATGCAGGACTTTGTGAGTTTTTCGGCGCAACCCATTTTTATACCCACCCGATATTCTCAAGCGGTACGTGATCCAAGGTGGAATGCTGCCATGCGAGTAGAAATGGATGCTCTTGAAGAGAATCGGACCTGGGATCTTGTCCCTCGTGAGGAGGACATGTCTGTAATAGGTAGTCGATGGGTCTACAACATAAAGATGTTGCCTGATGGAGAGATAGAGCGGTTTAAAGCTCGTGTAGTGGCTCAGGGTTTTAAGCAGGAGTATGGCATTGATTATGAAGAAACATTTGCTCCTGTGGTGAAGATGCAAACTGTTCGTTGTGTTTTTGCAGTGGCTGCTATGAAAGGATGGTCTCTGCTTCAACTTGACGTTAAGAATGTGTTTCTTCATGGAG